GGCCGCCGCCCCTCCCCCCGCAGGCCGCGCCGCCGGCTCGGGCACCGCGCTGGGAGGCGGCGGCCCCTGCGGCTGTGGGAGCGGCCTGCACGCCCCATGGAGCGGTAGTGGGTCCGTGCTCGGCTCGGTGGCCGGGCCGTGCCGTGCCCTTGAGCGCCCCTGGATTCGGCTCTGGAGGGTGCGGTCACGGGTGGGATTGCGACGGCGGCGCCCGGCAGCACGGAGCGGGTGCGTGGGGGCGCAGGTGGGAATGGCATTGTCCTAGAGTGTGTCCCCTACTGGTGCTAGTGCCCCTTCTCCTGCCTTCCCTCCCAAGCTCTCAGGCGGGTCTCCTAATGAGGTGTCGTGTTCTCTAAGGAAGAGCCAGAGACTGCCGTAGCACAGTGCCTGTGTTGCCAGCAGGATACTCGTCCCAAGCTGATGTTCGTAGGGAGAAGAGCCTTTAGCAATAAAGCACGATATGCCGGGTGAAGCAGGCAGCACAATAATCCAGACAGAGTAGTCCTTTGGGATGCTGCTGTGTTTGTTGTCATGCGGGTAGTGAGACCCTGGCACAGGCTGTCCAGAGAAGCTGTGGTGCCCCAGCCCTGCAGTGTTCAAGGCCAGGTTGGATGGGATGTGGAGCAACCTGGTCCCTGCCCATGGCAGGGGGATTGAAACCAGATGGTCTTAAAGTTGTCTTCTAACCCAAAGCATTCTCTGAGTCTACACACTGTAAAGGACATATATCAGTCGAACATAAAGTACTTCTGGAAACAAAAGAGGAATTGCATGGCCAGTAGTAGTAAAGCCATTCAGTCACAGTGCACAACAAGCACTGTTCTTGTTTAGGAGGATGTTTTTCCTAAGACATTTGTCTAATTTGAGCTGTTCTGGTAGCTCCTGGACCAGTAGAAACTGTGCTGGTCCAGGAACTTCCATAAAGTGCTAATGATGGGAGTTGAGACCCTTCTCAAAATGCCGCCTAATGCTTATGTGCATTTGATTTTGAATTAGTAATTCCTTCAAACATTTTGGATTTGTGTCACCTTTGAGGACAGTTCTCTTGTTTTTATGGCTTTACATATTTATGCCTTCAGGTGTTTCCTCCATACTTTTAAAATATGCTGGAATCTACCTGCTTACCCTAGGCTTTGTGATGAGGGTAATATATGTGGGTTGAATGTAATATTTTTGAAAGCCATGGGAATAACTATCTCCTTAGTAAATGGTTTATTATTATCTCCTTAGGAATGGTTTATCCAGAGATACCCCTGGAGGACTCCGAGTGTGTTGACAAGCACAGATAATCATGCCTTCTCTGCTTGTAAAGGCATGCCCTCTTGCTCCAAAGGCATCATTGGTTTGACTGATCAGAGTCAAGGCCCTGAACTAATGCTGAGAGGGAGCTGAGCTCACCACTTCAATGGAAGCATGAGGAAACAAAACATTACCAAGAAAAGCCTGAATTGCTTTCCTCAGCCCTAAAGAAGGGCAGCCTACCCCTGCCTGCTCTCAGTAGGATAGGACATAGTCAAATACTTATCCAAGAGGAAGAATCAAATTGAAGGTGAAAGATTTTCACCCAAAGATGTTGGCCAGTTGTGCTTTTAACACCAAGGGAATGTAGGCTCTGTGGCTGTGTTGCTGTGGGTAATAGAAGAGATGTTGATAGATGCCCTCTGAAGCAGAGAATGGTTTTCTTATCCCTTTCAAAATACTTTTTCTGTGCAGCTGATGAACCTTTTGTGTAGTGCTGCTTGAACTTGAGTCAGCAATCCATACAAGGAGACTTGGGTGGCTTTCATTTTCACTGAAGTAAGTTTGCCCTCAGATTATGCAGTTTGGTGATGTTTTGGGGATCCATTTATGATTCCCCTGATCTCTAAGCATCTGGATTTTTGTAACTCTTTGGAGCTTTTGATGACTAGAGTACAGCATCTAGCTATTATCACAAAGAGGTTTCTCAGATTTTTTTTTTCCCCAAACAACTACAGAAATAGAACTAGCTTGGGAAAAATGGGGCATGAAGGGTGGTGCCAGAAATGCATCCTGCTCTGAATTGCTGCCCCAGTAGCACTGGCCAGAATGGGATGTCTACTTTTAGTCTTCAGTATTTGTCTTCTTCGGGTCTCTATTTTTTCTGGGTTGGAATGACCAGGAAACAACTGAGGTATCCAGGATAGTAACTGCATATTGTTTGACTTGTGCTGGAGGGTGTTGTTTCACTTCTTGGAAGAAAAAGTGAACTTGAGAGTGCCAAAGTGTTTTGCTTAAACAGTTAGAGTGGATGAACTGCTGACCTTTTCTGGGTGTGGGGCAAGTTTTTTCTCTGAAATATTCCCTGAAAGTTATGTAGAATTTTTGCTTGGGGAGGTTGTTGCAGAAAGTTTACACATTAGGAAATACATGCAAATAGAGGTGAGCACTTTCAGAGTTTCCAGAATTTTATTCACGAACAAAGAGTGAGCTGAATCCTGGCAGGGACTGTTCTTCTGAAGGTGTTCTGACGTAGCTCTTGGTAGACTTAAACTTGTCTGTCTGCTTTTTGAACTTCCATAAATTTGCAGCATCCACACCATACCGAAAAGAAATTCCATAGGTTGCCATCTGCTTCATGAAGTTTTTCTTTCACTTACTTTGAACTTGACATGTGCAACCTTTGATAGGTGTCTCCTCCAAATGTCAGAAGAAAATGTGATTCTTTGTTCCCTATTTGGTTTTGTCATGATTTTGTAGACCTCTGCTGTATCCTTTACTCAGTTCTTTTTCTTCCATCCTTCAGGACCCCAACTGCGGTAGTCATTGCTTGTGTGGGAGCCAGTCTTGTTTTTGGTGTGAACCTTTTCTGTAAATACAACTACAGAGTATCAGGAATTTTACTGTGTCATTTTTAAGTGAGTGCATTAGGGGGAAAATTATTCTTCATGCAGCGGGAAGGAATAATCTACTGTGGTCTTGTACAGTTAAATAATTGTATTCTTTTTAAGAATACAATTAAATAATTTTATTCTTTTAAAGCTCTGTCTTAGCTTTAACTTTTTTTCTTACAACTGTTGATTTCCAGTGTGATTTGTTCACTGCTGGTGAGTATCTAGCAGGTGTTTCCATCAAGCTGTTGGATGTAACCCCAACATCTCATTCTTGAGAAGTATGAATGAAGAACCTTTTGTATATTTCTGAGTGGCCTTGATCCTACAATCATCAGTATGAAATTTAGCACCTCTCTTTGATCACATCAAGCCTATAGCTCTTGCCTTTACTGTCACACTTCACAGACAATTAAGAAAATTTTTGCAGGTGTTTCACTAATTTAAAGGATAATACTGGATAAGCAGCAAACTGAGAATTTTTCTCTGGAAATGAAAGAGCAGATCAGTCCTCAGCCTGATAGGATTTTTTTTTTTTAAGTTATTGCAAATGCACTTTTGCTTTTTTTTTATGAATTTCTCTAAACTTTATTTGTGTGTATGTTTGTGAATGTTTCAGGAAATGCTTCAAGGACCATCAGAAGATGTGTTTGCAAAGATGGAAAGTTCAGTTGAAGACATGGACACCTCCGATACCCAGTGGGGCTGGTTTTATTTGGCTGAGTGTGGTAAATGGCATATGTTTCAGGTAAATACCTATGAAGTTATATTGGCTCTGATGGATTCCATACATAAAATTATCTATGGCTGAGTTTGTCTTAATGTGCTTTTTCTTTTATTTTGAAGACTGACTCAAACAGTCACTGTTCCATCAGCAGTGAAGATATCGAAAGGAGTTTCCGAACAGACCCCCATGGATCGCTGTCTTTTACCACTGCAAAGTTTAACTACACACTGGACTTTTCAGGTATGTGTCTTGCCAAAGAGTGAATTTAAACCATAGAAGGTCTCAGATACACCAGCACATTTGTTCAGTCAGCAGGTTATCGTCCTCATATCTGGTGTGAAAACATTATTAAGAATGTCTTCTTTACTGGAAAAATACACAGAAGTTTTTAGAAACAGCTGCCCTGTTTCTAAAAACAGGTGCATTTTTTTTGTAGATTATTAATGAAGTAGCATGTTTTGTTTAATAGCACTCCATTGGAGTTCCTACTGCTTGCTCCAGCTGCAAGTGGCATGTAGGATACATCTCTTGAACTGGGAAGGTTGAACCTTTTTTCTCTAATTTGCAACTGTGTGTAAGCTTGGAAAACCTCTTCCATTCCTTCTGTATAAGAAACAAAGGAGGCTTCCTGCAAAATACTGGCATCAAAATGATTTAATAATTCAGCAGGTAGTTGGAGCCAGGTCTGTTCTCAGAATAACAAGGAGATAGGCAAAAGGATTTACTGGTAGATTGTAAAGATCTTCCTTATGCTGTTCTTGTAAATTACAGAGTATTACAGGTTTTTAGTGTAAGTAACTAATTATAAATGTACTTTGTTCACAGGTGTGTTCTAATAACTTTTTTTTTTTAGTTTTTCTATTCATAGATGGTTTATTTTCTGATTAAATTACAAAACAGCTATATGTTTAAAGTATAGGAAATTAAGGATAAAAATATGTATTCCAAAATACATATTCAAATTTAACATATTTCAAATACAGAAAGTGGGGACTGGGTAAAACAGGACTATACTGGCAGTAAAGTGGTATCTGACAATACAAGGAGTTTTGTGCTTACTTGTGTTGGAATGTCTTTTTATAAAAAACTGTGTTTTGCATCCAGAATAAAAACATTGCACTTTAACATTTAAGCAAATGTTAAAGAACAGTTTTTATGTTACTGTCTTTAGTCCATGATGCCTTACACTAAGGATAGCGTATTCTTTGTCATCCCTTTCAAGTCAGTGGAAGTTCTGCCTGTGATTTAGTGGGGCTGAATGTTAGATGGATAGTTTAAAAATAAATGTTTTGTGTGTGCAATATTTGGGCGTTTTTCCAACTCATATAAATGACAATGTATTTAGAAATATTTATTGAAAATGCTGATTTGTTACTGTTGAAATAGGAATTCCTGTCAAGTAGCTCAGGGTGTAGTAGTGTTCTTTTTTAAAATTATACTTAAATGTTTCATATGCTGCAGATGAATTCTCAAAAATTTCTTCCTAATTCTTGTTTTATGCTCAGTGATGAAACAAATCAACCTAACTACCCTTAAACAACGTCCAATAAAGCGAGCTCCCTTTGCAATCAATTCATTCAGGTAAGGAAATAAGAGGAAGACTCCTTATTTTTCTTTTATTCCTGCTTCTTCTGAGTAAAATGAAATAAAAGTGTTTTATCTTTATTGTTTATATTTATTTGCTTTTGGAGTCACTTGCTCTGAATACTTGTTGAATCAGAGTTGCTGCAGGGAAGCAGCACCAAAAAATGGAATCCATTGACTCCATAAATTTAGAAGTATTACTGTAATAGCAAAAAAAGAGTGAGTTATATGTTGTGCCTATATTTTACTCATTTACTCTAAAATTACTTGGAGTTTAAGAAATTATGTTGCAATAATTATTTTATGAGTCTAATTGCTTTAGATTGTCAGTTTCTTATCATTTCATCATTCATTAGATGTAAAGCTGGGAATCACTAAACAATAAACTGAGCTATGCTGTAGTAATTGAGTGTTACTATTACAGGTGAAATTGAGTACATGGGATACGTGGGGCTTTTTCCCCAAATAGTTTCTGAGAAAAAATTAGTTCTGAACTGTAGTGTGGTTATACATTCAAAAATAAATTTGTCATTTGTCATAAGAAATGTAGTAGGATTCTGTTTACACTGACTTTGAAGAAAACTGTGTTTTTGAAGTGTCAACGTTTTTTCAGTAGATATTTGCTAAATAGTGCATACAATAATGTGGCAATTTGCTTTGATCTTTGAATAATTGCATCAGCACTCTTATTTCCATGTGGTGACATTTTTTACTTTCAGGAGATTGCTTCTTTAAGTCCCAGTTTTGAGGCTTAAGAGCTTCTATGTATGTAGTGCATGTGCTTAAACCACTCTTTTTTAGTAGCTCTGTATAAACTTCATGGGGGTTTGCTTTTTTTGCATACTGTGTTCTTTGGAGCAGGAGTTGACAAGAAGAAAATGCCTCATGTCTTTGAAGTGATGTGCTTTTACCTTTTTTGTTTGAAGTTTCATCTGTGAAAATGAGGCTATCCCTATGCCTTCACACTGGGAGAATGTAAATACTGAGGAGCCATACCAGGTAAGAGTTGGTATGCAACTTGGTCAAAACCATGTCACAATGAAATAATGCATCGAATTGAAATCGCACTAACCTCTTTTTTTCCAGCTTATTCCCTTGCAAAAGAAAACAAATGAATATAATGAAGTTTCTAGTCTCTTTGGAAAAACAATGGATAGCCACCGAATTAAAAGAATTAAGAGAATACAAAATCTAGACTTGTGGGAGTTTTTCTGCAGGTGAGATTATTTCTAAACCCAACAGTTTTAGGATTGTTAATGGAGAAAAATTTTAAGTCATACAGCAGAAATATGTTTAACTGCTTTTATTATTAATGAATTTTTTGTTACTTTTTAACTACTAAAAATTTTCATATTTTTAATTTATTTATTCAAAATTTAATTTTCAAGACTGTAGCTTCTACAGGTACAGAAATTTAATACTTGTAGAAATGCATTAGATAAAGCTGTTGCATAGATAATGTATTTAAGGTGTTCAGAATATATGTGTGTAGATGCCCATGATCCTTACAGTGGAGTAAGGAGACAAAAATGAGCTTTTTGTAAAATGATTCATTGAGAGGCTTGTATTATTTTAATTTTTACTGAACAAAGCAAATGCATATTTCAGTCTTGCTAAATTTCTCAATTTTATGAATCATAGGACAGAATTAAGTGTCTAATGGACATATATTTATGCAGTTCTTTTAAGTTTAATGTCCTACAAAACCTTCTTCTAAGTTCTTGGCTTTTCCCTCTTCGCATTGTGCTGGCCTGGAAGAAGTAGGAACTGCCCAGTTTGGTATCCACTTATTTTTTTGTGTCAGTGTTAAGCAATTCTACTTGACAAAAGTTACTTGTGTATCTTGTAGGAAGGAGTGCATATCAGAAGGTTTAAAGATGTTTTACTCTAAGAAATTAATCTAGATTAAGTTAAAGAGTGAGGAAATAACTAACCAGATGTATACTAAAATCCTGCATAAATTACATGATTTTTTTTAAAGATATGTCATTTATTGTTAATTTAAAGCTATATCAACATGTGTGAGGAAGTGAAATTCCTTATATAGGTTAAGGGTTAAGAGAGTTACCCAACTTCTACCCTTTTTTCCTGATGGAGTAAGGAAGAGGGTCAGCAGAGCTGCTGCCTTGGACTTCCAGCGGTCAAACTTTGGGTTGTTCAGGAGGCTGCTTGACAGAGTCCCTTGTGAGGCAGTCCTGAAGGGCAGAGGAGTCCAGGAAGGCTGGACACTCTTCAAGAGGGAACTCCTAAAGGGTCTGGAGCAGGCTGTCCCCCTGTGCTGAAAGACATCTAGTTGAGGAATAAGATCATCCTGGATGAACAGAGAACTTTGACTGGAATTCAGACAAAAAAGAGAGTTTATGACCTTGGGAAGAAGAGGCAGGCAAGTCAGGAGGGGTAAAAGATGTTGAGATGTTTTGCAGGAAGAAAGGACCAAAGCCCAGCTAGAACCTAATTTGGCCACTGATGTAAAAGACAATAAAAATATTTAAAAAAAAAATCATTAACTAAAGGAGGGCTCTAGAGAATCTCCATCCTTTACTGGAAATGGGGGAAACATAGTGACAAAGGATGAGGAAAGGGCTGAGGCAACAAAGGCATTAATGGTAAGACCAGTTGTTATCTGGGCACCGAGGCCCTGAGCTGGTAGAAGAAGTGTGGAGCAAAATGCAGCCCTAGTAATTCAAGAGAAAATGGAACCTGCTACCCCACACAAGTCCATGGCAATGGATGGACTCTACTGGAGGGTACCAAGGGAGCTGTGGGGGTGCCCACTGAGCCACTTTCAACCATTTACCAGCAGTCCTGGCTCACTGGGGAGGTCCCAGTTGGCTGTGGTTGAGCAAGTGTGATGTCCATGTACAAGAAGAATTGGAAGGAGAATCCAGAGAACTACAGACCTGCTAGGCTGAGCGAGCTCGGTGCCAGGGAAAGTCAAGGAACAGCTCATCCTGAGTGGCATCACACAGCATGTGCAGGGCAACCAGGGCTCAGGCCCAGCCAGGATAAGTTTAGGAAAGGCAGGTCCTGCTTGATGACCAACCTCACCTCCTAGGACAGGGTGACCCACTAAGTGGATGAGAGAAAGGCTGCAGTTATTTTTTACCTGGACTTCAGTAGAGCCTTCAATACTGTTTTCCCACAGCATTCTCCTGGAGAATCTGGCTGCTCATGACTCAGACATGTGCACTGTTTGCTGGGTAAAAAACTGGATAGCCAGGTCCAGGGAGAGGTGGTGAATGGAGCTACATCCAGCTGGTCACCAGTGGGGTCCCCAGGGATCAGTGTTGGGGCCAGTCCTCTATAATATCTTTATCTGGGATCAGGACAAGGAGATCAAGGGCACCCTCAGTCAGTTTGCAGATGTCACCAAGCAGGGTGGGAGTGTAGATCTGCTGGAGGGCAGGAAGGCTCTGCAGAGTGATCTGGACTGGCTGGATCTGTGGGCTGAGTCTAGCTGTGAGGTTCAGTAAGGTGAAATGCTGGGTCCTGCCCTTGGGCCACATGACAGTGCTGTAGGCTTGCACATACTGGTGAAGAAATTATTGCCTGGTAGTATATTACCAAGAAATAGGTATCCCAGCATTTCAAATTCACTTCTCTTGATGCCCCAGGTAGGAAAGATGAAAAGAGGATGATGCTTAGTTTAGCATCTCTGTTTGGAGTTGTCAAGGAGTACAACAAGTAAAGAAAGGTGTTGGTCAGTGAGATTGCTGAAAAAGTTTTAGAAAAAGCTGAAACACTTTTAGAAAAAGCTTTTGTGCCTATGTAGGTACAAAGAACATGCCTCTGGGTATTTAGTTTTGCTGTAGGTTTTACCTTTCATTGAGTGAATTGGCTGAACGAGAATTTTCACAGTGCTGGATCAAGTTAATTTTGTTGAACTGGATTATCTTGTCACTGCTTGTACAAGGTGCTAAGATGATGCTTTTTAGAACAGTTGGACTCCTTGATTTCTGTTCCAAATTACCAAAGTGTCCTCTTGTGGCATTTCTGCATTCTGTACAACCAGCTTGCCGGTGTGCCCAGTATGTTTTACTGCTGAGGAGGAACAATTGCCACTTAAACTTTTATGGTTTTGAAAAAGTGCTTTGTTTAATAAGATAAGAGATTACATTTGATCATTGCTTGAATGATTACTTGCATCACTGTAGTGGTCAGAAAACATTTGCTTCTTACAGTAGTTCCCATATTAATGACAATTCTAAATTGGCTTTATGGAATGAACTGGTCAGAGATAGTAAAGGACTGTCACAGAACGTCTTTTGATTGATTATTCACTTTCTCTATAAATTTGTTCCATTCCCCTGTTTCAAAAGAAGTTACTTGAGGCTACGTTTGCATATTGTCAGAGATGAACAGCCAACAACAGAGGACTTGTGGTTGAAGAAATTTCAGATATTCAGCATAATTAGCTCTTAGATCAGTTTCTGCTGATTTGCCTAGGTAATAGTGCTTTATAATCTACCAATTTTGTTATCCCTTCCACCATGACAGTAAAGCAGGTGGAGGAAACAAAATGTGCAAAATTACCTTTCTTTTAAAGATGTATCTGCCGAAAATGACCACACTGAAACTAGTAACACATGAACAATGTTGATAAAATTGGTGTAGGAAGACCTTTTTTAGAAAATCTTGAGACTGTGTTGGAAAATAGCCCTATGGCATTCAGAAATGTGTGATTTCTAGACATGTACCTTAAGAATTCTGACGTGTTTAAAAACTTGAGTCATTTAGGTACTTGTAAAGTGGAATGTGTTAAGTCTGTACCCTCAGCAGTGTTTTCACAGTAGTAATTTAGTGTGTTTGTACAACTATTTCTTTTTTATGTCCTTATTTATGTATTTATTGTGTGTTTTCTGTAGAAAAAAAGCTCAACTGAAGAAGAAAAGAGGTGTCCCAACAATTAATGAGCAGATGCTGTTTCATGGCACCAGTAATGAATTTGTAGAAGCAATATGTATTCATAACTTTGACTGGAGAATAAACGGGATGCATGCTGCTGTATATGGAAAAGGTAGGCATTTCTGTCACATACAACTGTGATAGTGTTAACAGCTGAACATAAGTCTTTCCTGTAGCGTGTACTTCGTGATGCATGCCTTGTGTTTACCCAAGAACTGTTTAGTTACAGCTCTGCTTTTATGGTAATTGTAATTAAAGATGCAGTAAGGAATGTAATTGTCACAACTGGCTGGTAGGGCCAGGGAGCATGGGGAAGGGGTGCACAGCAAAGCAGTATTGATCACAAGATAATCTCCCTACTAAAATGTTCACACTAAAAATGTTTGGTCATATTGTTATAATATGTAACTACAAATAAAGGATTCCTAATAAACATAGAAGAACTGTCATTTTTCATCATGCTGATAGCTATGCTCTGGTAGTCTAACTGTCATGGTAGGAATGTCATCAAATTTTCTTTGTTTTTTATTTGAAAGGGACTTATTTTGCAAGAGATGCATCATATTCCAGCCATTTCTGTAAAGAGAGCATGAAGCACGGAGATACTTTCCAGATTCATGGTGTGAACCTGCAGCCCCATCTGCACAGACCAGATAAAGTCATGTTTCTTGCTCGTGTATTAACTGGTGACTATATTGGTGGTGATTCAAAATACATGAGGCCTCCTTCAAAAGATGGAAGCTTTGTGAACTTGTATGACAGCTGTGTGGATAACACCTGGAACCCAAAGATCTTTGTCATCTTTGATGCCAACCAAATCTACCCTGAGTACTTAATAGAATTTTGTTAAGTTTGAACTGAGTATTGTTTGTGGTTTTTTGGATACTTTTGTTCCTTTTGTAAAGATAGCAACATAGAAATGGTGCATGAAAGAGAGGTGAAAGAAAAGCTGGCATACATTTATGGAGGAGGGAAACTTAAATATTTAAGAGAGACTGGTGAACTGTTTTTAAAAATCTGTAAACTTTACTAATGCATTTTTCAAATGTAGACTCTTACAAATCTGAAGTTGCTTAGTGAGCCTTAAATACATTGAGCATTGGTAAGTTTTCAAAGCCAAGATTTATGTTTTGATTTTCTAAAGTATATTAAAAGTGGTTAGAAATATGCCTCTAATATAGTATGCATATGATGAAATTAATCTTTTATAAAGATTGCCTATAAAACAAAGTAAGAACAACAACAGCAAAACCCCAGGGGACATGGCTGTGTGTGTCTGTGTCTGTGTTCTGTAGTACATGTTACTTTGTTTGGAGGTCTCTTAGTTTGGATTCTAAACCTAAAAAAAGAAAAATAATCTACAGCTCCTTCATCAGTTTCCTCCAGATAAAGTTCAACAAAGCTGTAAGGTTTAACTTTATGTACATTTTACTATGAGCTTCTATTATATACTGGGAAAATAACGAAGCCATTGCAGTAGGATTTGACCATTGGTTTTGATGGAAATGAGGCCCATAAAGTTGTGGTTGTTAGTTGTTTGGTATGTAACTGTTGGGCTCGCTGTTGGGATGTCAGCAGTTCTGTATGCCTTTCTTAGTTCTTATCTTCTTATGGAATTTTTGCCATCTTGTTGCAGTATTCATGAACTGCTGTGATTCCTGTCTGGTCAGAGTTTAGGATCCACTCGGTGCTGATATATTTGGTGTTACTGAAGACAATGTTCACATTAACTTAACTGTAAACAATACAGTTAAACTAACAAGGAAAACTTCAAAAGATGCCATCCTTTAGCTTTTAAACACTACAATAGAAAGCTTTCAGTAACTTTTTTGCAGACCAGGTTTTCATAACTGGTATGGTTGTAATGTTGAAGAGTATTTTTCACATGTAGAAAGAGCAAAAGAGATAATATTTGGGTAAAGAACAAACCTGTGTACCTAAACACATGAAGAGGCTGAGGAAGGGGCTGTTACAGGGAAATGTACTGTTGTGTGAATGATCTGCTATGGAATTTGTCCCCAGTGTACTTTGTTAAAGGACCTAAGTAGCACTATTGGACAAGTCAAAGTTGAAACCTTTCCAGGCTTTTTCTTTGGCTATGGCCAGTAACAAGTCCCTGTAGAATCAGTATATAATTGTGGCAGATATGGAATGATCTATGTTGGTTTGTTATAGAAATGTGAATGGACTTTTTGGATCAAAGGCTGTGTTTAAAATGTATTGCATTTAAAGGCAGTGTCACTGCTGGCATGACCAGGTCTGTTCAAATTGTACTAAACCGGTGGAACTGTAAGCAGAAGATTATGACATATCTGGCATTGTAACTGAGGACACAAATATCTCTTCCTTCTCCTGAGTGCTGTTACTGTTGTCTGTCAGTGGATCTTGCACTAGTTGTTTATCTGTTTCTGTTTGTAATATCATGGCAATTTTCCTGTCCCTAAACCATTTAAGCCTAAAATGCATTTTCTTTTATTTTAGGAAGTATGATTTCTGATCCCAGCTGGGAACTCTAGGTTCTACTCTCGTAGGTATGATTTGTGTTTGATTCACTACTATGCTAGCTCTGCAAAAGGCACTTTGTTCCCCACATTGTATGAAATAATAGCAAATCACGCAGGGAATTTGTGTATTACTGAATCCTTTTTATTATTACACAATATTCTACAGAGCATACATTTTGTGAAATTAACAAATACATGTGCTGTTGTTCCTTTGATTTGGTGTTTTATTTCTTCTGAAACAGATGTTTTTAGTTAAGGAAACTGAAGTTTCATTTTTAGCGTCTCATGGATACAAAATACCACAATTTTTACTGATCTCTGAGACTTTTCTGATTGTTTGTGTGGTGGTGTCTTGTTTGCTGCTTAATTTGAATTGAATGGCACAATCTTAATCTTACTGCACAATTGAAGTTTTACCTCTTCTTTCAAGGTGTTCTGCTTTTTGTGCTGATGAATTTTGTTATTGAAGATGTCTGTAAAATAATTGTCCTTTCTCTGGCAAGGGGAGAATGATTATTATTGCAAGTAAAGTCCAGAACTGTACAAGCAGCCAATACAGGAAGTAGTTGGGCTTAATAAAAAGAGCAGTGAGAAAGGGAGGAAAATAATTTCTTGGCCTCTAGAGTGTTAAAGAAAAGAGAAGGGATCTTGGTGTGGTTCTGGGGAAGGAAACCTGATACTTTCTTTTACTCTTTCATGTAGTGAAATGTTCTCCATTTTGGTTTTACACCTGTGCAAGAGGGCATGCTACTCTCTTAGCTGTCCTGACCTGAGGTAGAGCTTACTAAATTATTCTTGTGACAGCATGTTTTCACATGAGCACAGTACTTCAGGATAACATAGAAAAATAAGATCAGGTCATACTGGCCTCCTGGACCAGCTTTGGTTTTTTACAATTGGTGTGTACTCAGTTATTGCTGAATGGATCTCATTTCATCCAGAGCAGTTTGGGAGAGCATCTGTCTGCATTCCAGTTCATTTACAGGGTCAGTTTGCACAAACTCTTGTTTTTGTTAGAATCCAAGGGGAGAAAAAAAGGATACAGCTCTGTTTTTTACTACATGTCCCAGTACATTCGCATCCAAGCCAGATGTGAGATACATCATATGATGGCTGCAGTTGATAACTTACATTCAGGACTACATTGGATGCCAGTTCAACTGGCAGATTGAGGACAACTCTCACCCTTTTTAAACATTTATTAGCACAGAATATCCTAGCAGGAAGGGCTCAAGTGAGTCTGTGCAGTTTGCATACTGAAAATTACTTTCAGGAGGATGAGCACATGTCAGTCTTAAAATTCCTGTGACCTAAATATCCATCAATGTTGTAACTTCTTTTAGGCATTGTCCAAAGCACCAGACTTGCAAAACAGCATAGGCCTACTGCATCTTTCACAAGTCACAAAAAATACTATGGGGCTGAGAGATGGAATACTTTGCCCCATTTTAAAGCCAGTTGGCCTCTCTTATGCCCCTCTCTATTAAGCCCCTTTGTTCTCCTTGACTCTGCCTTCCCCTGTTCATCCCCCACTCCATGGGTGTATACAGCTCCATTGATTCCTGCACCCCTTGCAGTCCGATCCCCAATATCATTTCCAAAGTCCAGGATGAAATAACCTTTCACACACGTACATGCTCTTATCAGTTAATATGACTGACCAGGTTTGGTTCTCATCCCTGCCTCCCTTACCACCTCAGCCAGCTTTATCCTCATGCATTCCTGTTCTTGGCTTCTTCCTTACAGTCCCTGTTGTGTCAGAAAAGGTAGTAGAGGAGTAGTCCTTCCACACACTCATACAAATAATTGTGCCACATAAAACATCCAGCAATTTTAGTGCCACATTTGTCCTAACTTGGGGGTTTAGTTGGAGAGGTCACATTTTATTCCTGTGGTAATGAATGGACAAGAGGCAGCCAAGGTGTACAACACCAAGACTGGAAATTTGCATGTTCAAGTGGATTTTTTAATTGGAAAGGACTCACTTGAATGTACAGAAGAAAAAAAGGAGAGTATTTGGTGTATATTGCAATAAGCAAAAAAAAAAAAAAAAAGCAGTGTAGTAGAGTATAGGGAAAGGACCTGTTCAAGCAGTAATCAGTTCCGTGGAATACCATAAATTGAGTTTCTCTTCCTTGTGTGCTTCGAGCTGTTAAGAGTTTGATACTGCTGTCATGTTAAGGATTGCAAACCAGCTGGTTCTGGCTGTTTGCACACTTGCAGACATTTGAAGATTAATTTACTGCTACTACTTTTAATCTTTTGCAAAAGTGATTATGACTCCACTGCTATAAACAAGTTTGAAGCTATGCTCTTCTCAGCTATTGACTTTATTTCATTTCTGTATTTTTATTTTGTCTATTGCCTTTGAACATCTTTGAGGTGTTTTTGTTTCAGTATTTTCCTTTCTAGAAACACATTTTTGCAATTAGAGAGGGAGGAAAGAAGAATAAGAAAGGATAAATGTATCAGCATTTGGAAGCTTCTGGGTTCATATCTGGATACAGTGCCAATCAGGAAGGCAGGGAGTGGAAATGACATTATGTTTCCAAGCCAATATCAGTTACATCCATTTCCTGTTTGTCTTCTAGCCAATAAATGCCAACTTTAATTTAAAGGGAATGAAATCATTGTGACACCAAAAGGAACAACCTCAAATGTTTCTTATCTTTACTCAGCTTCTTCACCGATACAGTTTTCTTCCATTGAACTCCTAAGGCAATGTAATACATACACCAATACAGGCAGTGAGCATCTGACTTGTGTCCAGGTTTCAGGAACAACATAAGGCCTTGGCCTGCTGGCCTCCCTTTTCCTGTTCCCATGCTTTGCTTGCCATGGGAAGTTGCCATAAAGTGAAACACATGAAGTATCTGGAGCATTGTTAAAAACCAATTTGGAGTGGGAATATGCTAATGCAGTGTGTTGTATTAAGTGATGTGTTTGGTTACAGAGATGGAGGTGACCAAGTAGCTCCTACATGTAGTCTTTTTTCCAGTCAATATCTACCTTTGATCTGGTGAAAGTTGTCCAAGGAACTAATCCCAGCTGGGAACAGTTGGTGCAAATAAACCCTTCAAAGGATGACTGGATATTGGTTACACTGTTTTATTGTCTATGTATTAACTAGGGAGATTACATTAAAAAGATTTATTTCTATAAAGAGACTGGCTGACACAAATACTATCATCACATATTTTGTTTTAACACAGCTGTTGAAAATACTGTAGCCTGACAAAGCTCTGTCAGCTAATTACCGAATGTTTATGAGAGTGACTTAAATAGCAGCTCCAGGCTGATATTTTCTAATTGTTTTGAATTTTATTTTTAGTGTAAGAAATATGACCCAAAACAATGGGATAAGACAAGGACAAGAGATGGAAAAGCAGGGGGTGGGGTGGGGGGGAATCAATGGGAGAAAAATGGTTACATAAGTGAAAGGGTAGTTGAGTTACAATGGGGCTGGGAATTGATGCAAGAAGGGGAAAGAACATAAGAGTATTACTGCTTTAAATCTGTCCTTCAAAATTTTTTAAATTCAGCTTTCATCCTGATGATCTTCCTGGATGTTAAGCAATGTTTATATATCCCCAGTGGGATGGAGTATTGGATGGAGAGTCAGGGGACTCTCCTGTAGTCAAATTTTTGTGTCTTTTGACATGTTGTGATGAGAGCAGACTTACAGAAGTGGTGCACAAATGATACAGAGCCATCAGAAGTGAGAGATGTAGCTACAGCACCTCCTCTGAGCAGTGTTGCAAGGAGCATGGTGGTACCAAAGTGTTGCTGTCTGCTGTAAACATAACTGCTTGGCTTCTGGCTTCTCATGAGGCCACCATGCTTCCTGAAATATCCCCACTCCAGTGACACTGCACATATCTTGTCTTTGCATCTCTTCCATGGCAAGTGTGTGGTATCAAATTTACTGTATTTAATTGACCACTGTAGTGTAGCCAGGAGCAAAAATGTTCTGGCTTGCATTAACAAATTGGAGAAAACTGCTATTGCTCTAAATTGTATGCTCCATGAAGTAATTGATTTCTGGAAAGAAACTGTCCTATGTTGTGTATTAGGTTAGGTATTGCAATAGATCCCCCAGGTTTTCTGGCCTTTAGCTGCTGTGGTAGTAAATATGACTGATTTTCAAATTTCAGAATATAAAACTATGCTGTCTCTTTGTAAAAAAAAAAGGTTTCTATCAAGCATGCTCATAAAGGTGGTGAGTTTCTGAAAGTTTTTCTTTGATGCACAAAATCCCTCACTGAACAGAATTTAATAGTCTATCTATGAGAATTGCATTCAATAAGACAATATAATTATCTTTGTAGTAAGTATTCATTTAAATTGAAAATCCCTGAGTGGAAGGTATGTATCTAACAGAGCCTTGAGCTATCAGTGCACTTTAGGGCTGGAATCTATGTAATGCTTCATCACAGATGGACAGCTTGTGGACAAAAATACAGTTTACCACCTCAGCATGAACGTGGGGGGAATTGGTAAGGCGGTGTATAATTAATGCTGGATTTGATCCAGGATACTTTTCCCTTAGGAGAGGAGATGAAGAGTTTTAGTGATAGTCTTTTAAAGATTGGTTTATGGTTCAGCAAACTGTGGAATATTGAGAAAAATTAGAACTGTATCGTGGCACAAACTGAGAGAGAAGTCCTTCCACTGTACTGCTGGCTCCACATCCTCACAGGGAAACACTCTAATATGGTGTTTTTCTTTTAAAATAAAAAATAAATGCTATTTCTTTTCACTTTGAGAAATATGAAGAGCATGGCTGTAAAATGTGATAGGCAAAAAAAAATCAATTTGAAGAACTGGTTCTAATGTTCCCCTGGGAATGTTGTGGTTTTTAATATTTCAGAAATGGGTTTGCTTAGCCCTGAGGGAAAGGGATTGGAAGAGCATGATAGACATGAGCATGCACGAAGACGGTACGTTCAGTATTAAGGGGGAAGAAATAGGTCACTGTGTATTAGATAGCTCATTTGGTTTCCTTTACAGCCTCAAGAGACAGCAACTGCTGAGCTGCAGAAAGCTGCCCTGTATTCTGAGGGACAGGGCAAATAAGCAATGTAGATGTCCTTGCTTTGGTTATACACAGGTACACCTTTTAATTCATGCTTTCTTGTGGAGCTGATGGTGCCTTACTGGAAAAAGTGCCTGTTTATGCAACAGTTCTAGTTATTCATGTGTCAATGCTGAGCTGCACGTGGCTTAAGGAAAACATTTTTAATGTGGGTTATATAAAAGGAAATACTTTTCTTGTGGTTTTTTTTTTTTTAATTTTTTTTTTTTTGTAGTTTATTATACATTATACCTGAGAATGTTCCTTCTCAACACTCAAGCAAAAGTATCAAGATGCCTTCACGGATGAACAAGGAGCTCCTGACTGAACTCAAACATCCAAAGGAAGCACACAAGTGGTGGCAGCACAGAAAGGGGGCCGAGGGGGAAACCAGCAATGCTGTCCTGAAGTTGCATGGACAGGGTGAGAGGAAAGCCAAAGCAGTCAGGAGAGACAACAACAACGCTGAATTATTCAATGAGGAATTGAGAGATATCTCTAGTTCATCTGCCCTTGTCCTTATGGAAGATTTTAACCTCCCAGACATCAACTGGTTAGTATCATACAGCAGAAACAGGTCCAGGAAATTGCTGAAGCACACGGAGGATAACTTCTCTGTGCAGGGGCTAAGGGAGGCATCTAGGACAGGTGCCCTCCCACCTTTGCTGTTTGTTAACACAGATGGTCTCAGGGGTGAAGTGGTTACTTGGTGGCTGTCTTGATCACACCAAGTAGTTATGTTTCAAATAATTGGTGTTTGGAGAATAAAACACCAGGAAAACTTTGTCCCTGGGTACGGGAAGAGCAGGTTTTGAGCTGATGAAGGAGCTAGCTAGTAGGGACCTCTGAGGATCTGCTTCTGAAGGTATTTCCTTCCATGAATGCTAGTCACTTTCTAAGAGCCATTTCTTAAGAGCACAGTAGCAGGCAATTCCAAAGGAAGGGAAGCCAAGCAAGCAGTGCGAAGAACTGCCTCGGCTGAACAGGGATCTTATAGAAGTTAGACAAAAAGAAACTGTACAGACACTGGAAGCAAGAACAGACAACACAGGAGGACTAGAGAGATTCTGTTTGGCACTGCCAGGAGAAAATTCATGCAGTCAAAGCTCGACTACAGTTCAAGCTGGCCAGCACTGAGAAGGACAAAAAAGGCTTTTCAAAATATATTAACAGCAAACAGAGAATCCGAGAGAACACTGGTCTCTGGATTGATGGGGTCAGTCACCTCACAAATAGGGATACAAACAATGCAGAGGTATTTAATGCCTTCTTTGCCTCTGCCTTTAACACCAGTGCTGGGCCCCGAGATCCCAGGAGACCTGTGTTGGAAGACCAGGACTGAGGGATGATGATCTCCCAACTGACCCTGAACTTGTTCAAGAGTAGCTGTTCAAGCTGGATGCACATAAATCTGTGCAGCCTGACAGGATTCATCCCAGGATACTGATGAGGTTGGACAAAGTTATCACAGGACCTTTCTGCATTATTTTTCTTCAGTGGCTTGGGAGTCTGGAGAGGTCCCAGTCAACAGGAAGCTGGCAATGTTTCAAGAAGGGTAAGAAGGAAGACCCTGGTAATGCTAGATCTGCCAGTCTTACTTTTCAGTGTGTGGTAAAATTACAGAGAAGTTTTTTTGAGAGACAATCCAGTCATTGATTATAGTGAGCACAGGTTCACAAGGGGAAAGTCTGGCTTAACCAATTTAATTTCATTTCATTATAAGGTCACACACTTAATTGAACAAGGGAAGCCAGTAAATGTGGAGTTGTGGAATTTTACCAAGCTTTTGATACTATTCTCAATCAACTGCCCAGCACAAAGATGGACAAATCCATAATATGTTGAGTAAATGGGGTTACATCAGGCTGGCAGCCAGTCACCACCGGCATTCCCACGGCTCAGTTTCACAGCCAGTGTTCTCCCATGTTTTCATAAATGATATGGACACAGGAATCAAATATACAATAGGTAAATCTGTCAGTGATACTAAATTAGGAAGAGCTGTGGACTTCCTTGGGGGTAAAGAGGTCCTGCAGAGAGATCTGGAGAGCTGAGCCATCACCAACTGTATGAAATTTAACTAGACCAAGTACTGGATTCTCCTTGTGGGACACAGTAATCCTGGTTATTCATACAAATTGGAGAATGAGATACTGGAGAACAGCACTGTGGACAGGGACCTGGGGGCAAGTGGAACATGACTCAGCAGTGCCCTGGCAGCCAGGAGGGCCGAGTGTGTCCTGGGGTGCATCAGGCACAGCCTCGCCAGCCCAGCAAGGGAGGGGATTGTCCCCCTCTGCTCTGCACTGGGGTGGTCTCACCTCGAGTGGTGGGGGCTGTTTTGGGTGCCACAATAAATGAAGGATATAAAGCTATTGGAGTGTGTCCAGAGGAGGATGACAAAAGTGGTGACAGGTCTCAAGGGCAAGACTTAGGAGGAAGTGGCTGAGGTTGCCTTGGTTTGTTTAGCTTAGAGAAGAGAAGGCTGGGGGATGACCTCATCACAGTTTACAGCTTCCTGAAGGAAGCAGTGGAGGGGAGGGATTGATCTCCTCCCTCTGGTGACCAGCAACAGGACACAAGGAAATGCAGTGAAGCTGCACCAGGTAAGTTCAGATTAAACATCAGGCAAAGGTTCTTCACTGAGAAGGTGGTCAACCACTGGAACAGGCTCCCCAAGGAAAATGGTGATGATACTAAGCCTGTCAGAGTTCAAGGAGCATCTGGATGATGCTCTTTCTTGGTTGTATGGTTTAGCTTTAGTTAGTGCTGTGGGGAGCAGGGATTTGGAGTTACTGATCATTATGTGTCCCTTCCAACTTGAGGTATTCTGTGATTCTAACCTGATGGGATGCATCCCCAAGGGAGGGAGCTGGCCAGAGTGATGGCAAGTTCCCTTGGAGTGGAGGAGTGTCTCTGGTAGGATTGTAGACAATGATCCTTCCCTTCTACTGAGCACCCAACCACATCCGGAGTGTTGGAGGCAGTCCTGGGTTTCCCAGTATGGGACATGGATGTACTGGAGTGAATCCAGAAAACAATTCTTAAAATGATTAAAGGATTGAAACATTTGAGAAGATACTGAGAGACTGTTTAACCTCAAGGAAAGAAGGCCTGAGAGGGAGTTTTATCAACTTATATAAATACTTGGTTGGAGGATATAAAGAAGACGAAGCCAGTCTGTTCTGAATACTGCAAAGTGGAAGGACAAGAGGCAGTGGACATAAATTAAAATACAGGAAACTCCACCTAAATATAAAAACACCAATGTTTTTATTTTGTGCAATGCCAAGCACTAGAACAGATTGCCCATGGAGATTATGGGCTCTCCATCTTCGGAAGTATTCTAATTCCAGTTGGACAAGGCCCTGGACAATCTGCCTCTGCTGTGAGCAACAGGTTGGTTGGAATAGATGACGGCCAGATTAATTCTGTAATTAAACCTTGATTTTTAGAAAAGTTTTGCATTTATTTTTTTTAAGTGCAGCCCAATCAAACTCATACTGCACTGCAGGTGATGTGAGCATGAAGTCCAAGGTGTATCTTTTTTACTGTGTCAAGCAAGATTACAGCTGATCAGGCTTGTAGTTTTCTACCTGTCACTTAATGCAACTTCCATTTTGCTGTAAATTTCTGGTAAAGTTTACTGTAAATCTGCAAATTTCTTGCAGCATGTTTATGACTCCAGTTCTGTAACTTTTCCTCTGATCCTTGAGCATAAAGAAGGAAAACACGATTTTGAATGTTAGTACAAAATTCCCTCAAGGGTGGTGCAATTTCATAGGCAATTAAAAGCTTCATTAGAGTGGAAAGACAAAATAGGCCTGCTACTGACAGCCTAAATGCAAAAGAAAATGACCCCTTGCATCCCAGCATTATGATGGCTTTGCAGACTGAAATAAACACACATCACCCTGAATAAACTGTGAAATACAGCCTGTTTTATTTAAAGGGTGGTGGTTTTATTTTTATATTGCACTTGGCATTTCCTGATTTAAGAGCTGCAAGCTGTCTTCTGCCTACCACATGTTTCTGTTTGTAGTTCTGGCATTTGTATAACCCAGTGGTAGAAACTGTCATCCAGTTTCTAACTCACTGTACATTAAACATAGCAGTCAGAAGGATCCTAGCTCCAGACAATATGTTTTGCACACCAGTATTTTTCAAAATCTCCTGGTTTTAGTCCTTGAAGAAAATCAAGTGAATTTATGTCTAGATTTCATACAGGACAATTTTAGACCCATATAAAGGGTTTAAGTCTTTCAAGTATTCAATTTGGCACTGTAATTTGTGTTGAAGTGCAATCTGTGTTATGAAGTAGATTCATGCCTGTGCACATTTATTCTTGGGCTATTTTTTCTTTTTGCAGTTAGCGTCACAGTCTCTGACATCACAGCATATGAGTTTACTGCTTTTCAATCCACATACTTCAGGAGAGAGAGATGGTAATGCATTTGATTCTGGCTGTTCATGAAGAACAAATTGTGGCTGCTCAAGAACATTAGGGTCTTTGTCTCTACCAGCTAGGGAATGGGATGCATATGAAGGTATATGATCAGAAACTGCTGAAAGAAATCACAGCAGTACATGAGTGCAACACAATCCATAACTTTTTGCTATGAGAGAGAATAAAACCAGAGAGCAATAGACCATTTCTAGCTGGCTCTCTAAGTCTATACTCCAAAGTATTCACAGGTACATATATGAACAGCATTAGCTGTCCAGACAAGACCTAGAAAATTTCATTGACCAGCCCTTCTACTATTGCTTAGTAGGCCCCACAATTTTCTTACAGAAATTGAAAAGTCTAAACTGCCTCATACTGAATGGTAAGGAAGAAAATGGAATGACTGGTTGCAACAAGATACCTAAGCAGTGTTCAATTTTAAGATATATTCCTTGGAGTCTTATCTCTCACAAAAGTTACCACTAAGTTTGCAAATGCTATTTCAGTGAGCTTTTCTCCCCATGCATATCACAAATTCTCTGCTATTCTGAAACTTTCTAGATGCTTTCTTCTGTTTCTTCACAAGCTTTTGAATCATGTCTTGTACTTTGTGGCTGATAGTGTGCCTTCATTTCTCTGAAAGAGTCTTGTGAGATTGTCCAAACTTTAAAAGAAAGGCAATTCTGTCTTTTACCCACTATTTTACTTGCTTACCAAAAGGTTAAATAGAAAAGTTAGGCTGAGTCAAATCAGCATGTGCAGAGTATTACAATATTTAGCAGGCTGATGATTTCATGACAAGTACCTGTGTGCCTGTTTTCACCCACAGTACATACAAGGCAGCTGCTGTGGTAAGCAAATTTCAAATATTTACCTTTTTCACAGAGCATGGATGTGAGCAGAACTGTCAAGGAGTGCATTACTGCATGGCAAATCCACACTCAAGCTTGCCTTGTTCAAGTCTACAGTCAATCATTGTAATGAAGGAAGTAATACTTCCCTTTGCAAGAATCCATCCTAGTTAAAAGTACATCATCAACTCAGTGTTTAATAACTGTATTAAATGATTACTCTTGTAGTGCTTTGTAAGTAGTTTTATCAGGCTTATGTATGGGTCTGTATTTGGCAGACTACCTGCCAGTCTTCCTCATGTTCCCCCTTGTAGTGGCAAGATTTGCAGTTTACTAGAGCCCTGGGATTGTAGCTTACTTTAGGGAGATAAGCTTGAAGGGTTTCAGGCTGTTCAGGAAAGATGGATTGGGAAGGCAAGTAGGAGGCTTTTATGTTGTGAAAAAGAGTGCCTTGGGTGCATGAAGCTCTACCTTGGGACAGTTGTTGAACCCGAGGACAGTGTGGATAAGGAGATGAGAACAGATAGTGCAGCTGATGTCACAGACGTGTCTGCAACCAAATCATCTGATCAAGAAGAGGGAGGTGAAGCCTTCTTTAGACACTGTGCCCTAGAAGCTCTTCTGCAGTTGGGAAACCTTACAGTGGTGGGAATTATGTGAAAGATTTTTCTCTTTTTTTGGGACTACTTGGAAAATCTGATCCCAGAAGTGGGTGTTTTTCAAAATTTACTTTGCACTAAGTGAAACGTTTGAATCAAATGGGAACCAATTCTATCTCCCGCTGCCACCTTCTGCAAACAGAACTTGAAGAGTTTGAGATTACAAGGTGGGGAGATCCTACTAGGTCCATTTGGACTGGTCACTGCCTTAGCACCTTGTTGTGGATGAGCGCTCTGGTGCCATTCCAAACCCTGCTGCCCTGACCCGCTTGGGTTTCCCGTGCCCTTATCCTGGAAAACCACCACGCACGCAGCCCTGGCTGCAAGAGAGACCAGGGAAGGCTCACCCCCCTCGCCTTCCCCTGGCTCTCTGATCTCGCCGAGGGCGAGGCGCTCCCGCCATGGTGAGGTGAGACCAGGCGGGGCACCTGGGCTCCGGCTGCAGGTAGAGAGGGAGGGAGGGAGAGAGGCCAACCCGGCCGTCCCGCCCCTGGGACACAGCCCGCCTCGCCCGATTATGTCACCCGTGCTCAAAACAAAGTTAGGAAAGTGCTTTCAGCCTTTCCGCGGTCTCGCTTCCAGCGCGGGGAGCGCCGGCCGGGCCAGCCCGAGGGGCCGGCGCCTGCGGCAGGTGAGTGGGACGGCACCGCGGCCGAGGGAGCCGAGGCAGGCACGGCGGGGTCCGTGCCCGGCCGGATTGCTCTCCCGGCCGGGAGGCACCCGCGGCCGCCGCTTCGCCGTGCCCTGCAGAGAGAGCGAGCCCCGGTGTCCCCAGCAAGCCCCGCTCTGTCGCAAGCCTCGCTTCCTGCGCGATGTCCGCGGGCGCGGGATCCGGCACGGAACGCGGTCTGGCTCCGAGGGGAGCGGCGGCCCGGCAGGGCGGCGGGAAGGCGGGGGGCTACCCTTGGCTCTCCCTCCAGCCTGCTCGCTGCCAGGCTGGAAGGCGGTAGGAAGGCGGCTGGAAGCGGCCGCCAGCAGGCTGGAGCAGCCCCCGCAGCGCCGGCGGCGGCGCGAACGCACTCACGGCGATGGAGCCGCTCCGCCGTGGGGCCGGGGCTGGCGAGGGGAGCGACAGCTCAACGCCGGGCTGCCACTGCCCTGACTCCTCCCACACGCGGAGTGGTTCCCTAAGGTACTGCCCTAAGCGGCCGGCGGTGTGCAGCGGTTGTGCCGGCGCTCCCGCCGTGCCTGGTGTAGCTGCGTGCCCAGAGAAATCCCTGGATGGCCTGGCCGCCGCAGGAGCTGCCCCGCTGGTTTTCGCTCCCCTGTAGATGCAGAAGAGGATTGAGTTTCTGGCTGGTGGCTGCCTTCAGGCCCACCAAATGCTTGTTGAAGAAGCAGTGCTGTTCCTGGTGGTTGTTGAAATTATTCCTGTGTCCCCCTGCAATTGTTTGGTGTCACTCTTACTCTGCTGTAGCACTTATGTGATCTCTGATTTAATTTTCTGTCTTTCTTTTTATGATGACTATAAATGACACTTATGAAAGAAACGTGCTGCTATCAGGATAATAGATTTCTTAATATACACCAGTAGAACAGATTATTACTGTATGTAGTGAAAAGTGGGTAGTGTCACAGTAGGGAGAATGGTAAAATCCCTCTAGAACATGTTGGCTAATTTAATGTGCTCTTCTGTTTTCTTAGTTGCAACTTGTGGTTTTCAACAGTATTTTTCAGCTTAGTTTCACTTTTCTTTTTGGAATAAATAAATTATTCTGATGCATGGGTAAAAAGCTATTGGTTTTCTGCGGGTTGTTCTAAGAACTCTGGTCCCCATATTTGAGCTTCAGTAATTGCACAGATCAGAAAGGAGCCATTACACCCAAAGTGAAAATTAAATGTTGGTATTCTCTAAACTATATTCTCATTTTTACATGAAATTGAGAGAAGAAATCAAAAGTCAGAGTCTGAAGTACAAAAAGGAAAATACCTTTCTGTGAATGGATTAAGTAAAAATGAGATTTAGGGCAGTAATACTTCACAGTCTCATGGTTTGCCAGCTCTCAGACTTAAGTTTACTGCTGCTGAAATGAATGAGATGTGTTTGGTTCTTTGTGAACTATCTCTGCCCCCACCACCACCCTTTCCTCTTATCTTGTGGTGGACTAGGAGATAACAGTAAAACAAGCTGAAATAAATGCACTAAAGAGCACCATTCTACAAGCTTTGTATGTGGTTTCTTCAGACCACAGGATGAATGTGCTGCTTCTAACAGATCTCTTTTATCTGCCATTTCTGTTCATTGACAAATGATATCCTATCATGATTTTTAGGTGGGTAAATGAAGGAGTAAAGAGTATAGTGGTCTTTCCTGATTCCCTCTCCACTCTTTACTAATTTGCAGTCTAAATGTGTATGAACATATCATCCCAACATGTAATTTGGGAGTAATACATCTATAGGGTTTTATTTCTCATGTTAAAACATATAGATTTAGTCAGTTCAAGTTAAAACTGATGTAAAAACGTACGTAATTGTTTCCACTGTTCATGACCTAATCCATGCAGAAGCACCAGGATGTCTGTGTCTGATTGAAACTGAGTTAGAGGATTTTGGACCCATCTTATTCCTTAGTCTCACAGAGCGGGTGTCAAGGAAAGTGAAGGGTCTTGCTGGGGAGCTTCCATTAACTGAAGAGCAGCATAAATGAAGTCAGGGATCCTGCACAATTGCAAGGACAGCTTTCTGAGTAATTGGATCACAGAGAAAGGGGAAGTTGTATCTCTATTCAAAAGCAGTAGTGAATTAAAATCCAACTAAGAATCTGTAATGATGCATTTTTCATTGTTTGCATAGTGGGAATTTTTTGGTAGAACTGAACAGGATGAAGTACACCAAGCCTCCTAATCAAACATAGATAAGTGGATTTGTTTATATGTGTTTCCAAGGCCTTGGAAGTGAGCTGTGTGGAGCAGATAGCATGAAGGTTATCTTGTTCTGCCTATAGGAAAATATGACTATTTTAGTATCGTATTTTACTATTACTTTTTGCAGTGGAAAGCCAGTGGACTAGCAAACTAAATATTCCTGTGCCTCACTGACATGCTCTTTTCCCATAAAACCTGTCCCACTGACTCAAGTGAAGGTATTTTTCCCAGGGAAAGTTTGTAGTTTTAGAAATTCTGAAAGTTTTGAAGACAATAATTCATGCCAACCCGACCTCAAACTGAGTGTCAAATAACTAAGGAAACACTTGGAATATGCCTTTGTCTTCTAGTGGACTCTGCATTGACTTGGGTCCTCTAAGATCCATGACAGAGTAGACTGAAATTTTATACTAACATTTTTTCAATGAAAAAACGATTCTTATTTGAAGAGAATATTTAATTTCCATCTCAAAATCCTTTGACTTAAGTTAAAGATGTAACATTCCTCGAAAAACCAGAAATAGAGAGCGTCTTTTAGATTTCAAGCCAAATTATTGTTGGTTTTCAGGCAGATAAAAGGTTTTGGTTTTTTTTCTTTTCAGAAGTTACATTTTTAGCAAGGGCTTTTGGAGGAGGCAGAATATTTCAAGGGTTTTTTTGTGAAAATGGTGTACTTTAAACATGTTCTTATCAACCTGATTTCACCAGCTGAAAGTAGCTCCATTTAGCAGTGAGTCATTAGGAAAACCTGAAAGATAAGACAGTTAAAAGGGGTATGCTCTATTTGACTTAAACTTTTTCCAGATAATTACTTCTGGGGGAGGGGGTTTCCAGTGAAATAATTTGTCTACAAATGGAACAGCTCATGTGAACTGGCAATATCTCCTGCCAGAACGTTATGTTACACCACTTACTAATATAATGCTGTTATCAATATAGTTAATCACATTTAATTTCAGTACTTGGAACAATGCAGCACAATAAATTGTGCTTAGAGGCTTTTTCCAACATCAGTGACTGTGTGACTCTTTGCAGTCTGATGGACTCGCCCCATTTTTGACTCCACTACCTTTGGGAATGCATTGCATATGTTGTAAGATGCTCATTCTTAACAACACTTTTTACATCCCTGAATTAACAAATGCTGTTTTAAAAATAAGTCCAAATAATGGTAGAATAGTTCTGCATAGTTCTGGAATAGTTCTAATGCAAGTTCTGTAAGTGTTAATGTCTGTCCAGTTTATGTGCAGACATCTAAAAAACCTCATGCTGCAGCCACAGTTGTTAGCCAGAGTTTTAGCCCAAAACAGATAACTGGCCAAGCTGTATTTGTACGCAGTAACAATTTATTGGTAATTTAGAGAGATAAAGGAAAACACCCATTCAGATCCTCATGCACACTTGTACCACCATCCTGCTCAGGTGTTGGATAGGTCAGCAGTTTCTGAAGGCACAAGGTTCGTGCAACCAGCAGACAGGTGAGGAACAAGAGGTGGGGAGAAGAGTTCTTCTTGGAACCAGTTTTCTGGAATAAGGTGGAAAGAGCAGAAGGAGGGAGAGGAGACAAGGGGTCCTTAAGCCTGCATGGACTACAAGCAGGGTGCTCTCAATTCTGTTGATCTTGTGATTATTTTGCAACAGTGATTTCCATGATGATAGCTGCCCCTAAATTCAGTGTCCCTCCATAAGAAGTTTTTATTTTCAGGCAGCTCTTAGCTTTTAACTTCTTAAGTACATTAAAAAGGAAGCATCCAAAGCAATGAAGCAAGAGGAAAAGACGTATTTCTGTTAAAATCATAACCTAGAGTAGCTTTACTTCTCAAGGATCCCAGCAGCACTTAGCAGATCCATTTTAACTTAATCCTGCCTTTTTAGTATGGACCCCTAAGAACTGCTAAGATTTAGGCAATGAACATCCTGTTAGTTTTTCATTAGTGTTTTCATATTGAAGAGCAGGGTGGTGAATAAATGAACATCTGAATTTTAATGCATGGATAGTTTTATTTACTGCTGCCATAGAAGCCAGCAAGAAGCCAGGCAGGAGATCTTTTGTCTTCCACTGGGGAAGCTGGCCTTTGGGAGAAGAAAATTTTCTTACAAGCTCAGTGAAAACTAGTTGCTTGGATGCAAATGTTAAAAATAAAAGTTTAATGAAGATATGTTCACCAGTCAGAGTTGGAATTCTGCATCACAGTGCACAGAATTGACATTGTTTTTTTCTCCAGCATGTGTATTTGTGGACTCATCTAGGGACACATGCCCAGCAGGGAGTAAGTGGTCTCTGTCCAAAGTCTGGCTGTCTGTTTTGGAATCCTTAATGCTTAATCACTTCAAGCATATTTTCTGGTTTTCTTCTGTTTCACAGTTAATATTGTTGAGACACTGCTTCAGATACATAATCTGGATTTTTATCCTTCTTCTTTAGCTTTAAGGTTTGTTTTGGTTCTTCTTTTCCTTAAACAGCAATCTTCAGAAAAGGAGAAATTTCATTTATATGATTTTGGTGTATGTATGACAAACAATATCTTCTCCCAGGTCTTTTTCCTCCTTGACTTCTGCTGAGCTCCCTTACCTTGAAATAAATTGTAAGTAATTTTTAAAGCCTTATTGTGGTAGTTTTAAGCTTGCAGATAGGAAAGTAGGTGATCCTAATGGTTCCCTTAATCTTTAAAAGCTAATCAGGTCTGGCTGGAGAGTTTCTGTTAAGACAAACCTAAACAGTCTGTCAAGACTGATTCTAAACAGAATTTGGTTCTCCCACACAAATCTACTCACACTAAAGGAATTTCTACATAACTTTGTTTTTCCTTTTACAGGCCAGTGGATGTAGGATTCTTCTTTTGTCTCTGCCTTTGCTACTCCCCTGGAATTATTTTCGTGTCACATTCCTTTCAGACTATCTTCTTGTGGTCCCTCATGGGAACTCCAGCCTGCCTCAGATCTCTCCCTCCAGAGTTACACTCCTCACACCCACTCCATGGTGTACAATCTCGTAAGATGAAGAGACATAAGAGATCATGTACATCATGACAGAAGTGAATTCAGGCTGTGTGGAAGAGGCTTTGATGATACATTTCATCACAAGATTTTCTGACTTGCATGTGTTTCCTTGAAAAGCCAAAACTGGTGGAATCAATGTCCCCTTTTTTTCATCCAGTTGTGTCTAGGTGTCCATATGGTTAGGCCAAGCTTTATAATTCTTCCATGAGAGCTTAAAGGTTAATTGTCATAGTCATAATTGAGAAAAAACAGGTATTTTCTTGAGCATATAACTTTGTACCTCTGTTAGTTGTTTTAAGTGTGGGACCTGAATTTTTATGTTGGATGGTCATAAAAATCTTTTTTTAAATGGCTAGAAGTAACAGTGAAGTCCACTGATCTAGTCATCTTTCTCAGAAGTGATCTCCTCCGCCATTATTTGCAGATTTGTATTTGGTCTGTTCTTCCATGATGGTAGAGCTGCACTGCCTTTGCAGCCAGGGGTTCAGTGCTCCACCTTCTTTATCCTTGGGTGGGTTTTCATGTCCAGCTTGTCTGACATGTTTGATTCTTGTGCATTGTATTATGTGCATAGGGAGCATTTTTCTCCAATCCTGTATCTAGAAAACCTCTATGTACTTGAGCTTGGTTATTGTGCTCTCTTTGGTCTTAGTCCCATTCTTCTGTCATTCTCTGTAGGTCCTCCTTTTTTTTATTCTACCTTGATAGACCACTGGGGCTTAATTAAATTAAATAAACTATAACTTTCCAGTTGAAATTGAAAGGATTCTACAACAGTGTTCATTGTCTAACTGGATGAATACTTGTTCAAAAGCAGGGCAGAGCAGTTGGGAACAGAATGACTTCCTTGTGGTGATGCATTTTAGCTTTAGGAGCTTTTCAGCACAATGCTGAATAACTAACTCTGATAACTAACTCTGACACAAAATTATTTCTGAAGAGGTCCCTGTTCATGTGTTAGGCATGCTGCACTGCAGCTGTGGGTTATTTTAACATTTCGTTGTAGGAAATAAACATTTCTTGTAGAAAAAGTATGCAATCTATTTTTTATTTTGTAGTGTTTGTAAGACATGTGTTCTCTCTCATAACAGTGTTTTGGATAAATCCAAGGTGACCTTGGTATTAAATAAGCTTTTTTGCTTATTTTGATATTTTTCAGCTGATGATATGTTTTGAAGTGTGCTGCAGAAAATTTGTACCTGTAGACACATGCTAAGAAAAATATTTCACCTAAACCTAAAACCAGAAGACATATGAGTGCAGGCAAAACAGATCTCTAGGTTTTTAACTATCACAGTTAGGGAGAACAGGGTTGTCTCACATCATGGCTTGTGAAATCTGTGGCTTAACATTGCTCTCTACTTCTAGAGTTTGGTGATGTGCAGTAGACCTGACTGGAAATGATGAAAATGCCTTCTGGAATATTAACAGTGACCTGCCTTTTGCAGATCCATCCAAAATTTACCTCATGATTAATGGACAGAAACCTCTGAATCACACATCCTTGTTTAGTGTTTGGAGCTATGCTTGTTTGCATCAGGTCATGCTATGACCTATTTTGCATTGTGAAGTGTGTTTATAGCTAAAAGAATGGAAATCAAAGGTCTTAATAGAATTGATTTTGTAAGCCATTCATTTTCTAAAGGAGATGGATGAGTGAATGGAACTACCTAAGTTTTTTGAAACTGGCTTTGAGGTAATTACTGAGTGCTGATTCAGTAATGTGGGACAAATTGCAGTTTTAATCTTTCATGTTATTACCAGCATTTGCAAAGTATCAGGACACTGTAGGAATTACGATGAACTCTATTAGCTTTAGAAGCTGCCATAAGGATTAAGAATTTTTGCAAATGCTCAAATTTAATTTTCTGCTGTATTGAAGGCACTTGCCGTTTAGCAAGTTTTTATGATGTGTATAAAAGGTGGGGCAACTTATAAGAAGGTGAGGCTCTCATGATGCATGTAATTTCATTTTGTGTATGGAAATATTTAGAAAGCATGGTGATGTTTGCCGAATTGTACTGTTTGCTAACTGCAAACAACTTCATCAAAGTGTATATAGTGCCCTTTTTTTCGCCATTTTTAATCTGTTTTTGTATTTCTGTTCTTTCTCTTGCAATGGGCTATTTATTCCTTGCATAGTTTTTATTTTTTGCTAAGGAAGTCTGATGGACTGTGCAGAGGCAGGCACTAGCACACTAGCAGCACTTATTATCTTGATTAGCTTGGCCTGTTCCTGAAGTTGTGGTCTTCTGAGAAATTGTTGAAATAAAAAAAAAAAAAACAACCAAAAAACAACAAAACAACAACAACAAAAAAACAAACAAACAAAAAACAAAAAAAACCCCCAAAAACCCCCAAAAAACAAACAAAAAACCCACCAAAAACACCCAAAAAACCCCTCAGCATTTTGAGTCTGGGTCAGATCTTGTCAAGACTGTCTTTAAGCTGTGCCTGTCCCATTGATTTTTGGAGCTTTTATACCTGTTTTTAAATTAGTATCATTGCTAAGCTGAAGCTGATGCTCTGGTTTGTTACATCATATACTGGTGTCAGCCAGGAGTGAGCTGTATTTAAGTAATGGGGGTTCAGGTGTGTAAAAGCAGGATGAAGTGAGAATTTTATGCAGACTATTCCACCAGTGTAGTTTGATTGTGACTTTCCGTCTGATCCACTTGTGGGTAGCTATATACAGTGAGAGCAAAGATTCATCTGGCCCATATACTGTTTTTAAGACTGTTGGAAACATCATGGATGGATTTAAGGAACAGGGCAATTATGGAGCAGTCTTTTCCTTTGTGTATCTTTCCAGCTACTGAATGTTGGTCAGACTTTCTGAGCTACAAATTTTCCTCATAAGAGATTACAGCTGTTCAGGCAGCCGTAATAGGCAAAAGCCCCTTGTTATGTGTGACCACAACTCCCTGTGACAGCATTTTCTAGCCTTGTTAATTATCCAGGGCTGCTGGCATGGGTGCTCTGGCAGGCTTTGGTGGCTCTTGGGGTGTGGAGTGTGGCTTGACCCAGCAGAGAGGTCTTGGGATTTATAAGGCAGCTGTACATTAAAATTCAAGGAAACCCATTCTGAGGGAGGAGTTTCCTATAGTATGATACTGGGTGGTTTAGACATCTCTTGGCTTCACTCAGAGTGTTTTTTCTTCTCCTGCTTGTAACACTGCTTAGGAAGATTCTGACAGGTTCTTTGGCCATATAGCCAAAGTTATTTCAGTTCTGGAAAGTATTTGGACAAGAGCCTTGGGATGATTGAAATTATAAAAGAGAGAAGGGAGGGAGAGGAAAATTACCTCTGCAGATTTTTTCACATGGTTTCAGAGGAGCTGAGTGATTTGCTCACCAAATGGTCAATGGTGGTTTGAGGTCAATGGCCTATTTGCAGTAAATTTACACTTACTTGCAATTTGGGAAGTCCAGCTGCCTGCCCATGGCTATCAGAGAAATCACTTTGTCATGGGAAGCTGTGTGAGTTCTGTGAAGATGAACACATCTTAGAAGATGCTGTTCCAAGAGTGCCAGCTTTGAACTTAAGCATAGAGTAAAACAGGCTGAGTTGCTCTGTGTGATCAGAGCCTTTTCACCCTAAGAAGCTGCCTAGACAAGCCTAAGGTCTTGTTTCCTCATATTCTACCTTCACATCCATGCGGTGCTGCAGTCTTTGCTCTACAGACAACATAAGTTCCATATTTAAACAATTTTCACTGGCCTTTGTGGAGTTATTCCAGATTTTGCCAGTCATACTGGATCAGAATCACTCTATATTCTCTTATATTAGTCAAATGCCTTAAAAAATTCTTTATTCTGTTAAAAATTTTCAGGCAAATTTGTGTCTACTTTAGGCAGACCTACTTAGATAAGAAGTACAAATTCAAGACAAATATATGAAGTCAAGTTGTAGTGACTTTAAGTTATTCTTGCCTTTACCTGTATTTCTTGTGTTTTCTTGTTCATGTTGATTGTCCATATTTCTTATCAAACTAGCCGATTTTGATTTGAGATTCCATTTCAGAGCTAGTTTTGTCTTCTTCCCTCAGACTCCCCCTTCCTTGTTCATCGTCCCATTTCCAATATCTTAAGTGCAGCCCATCAAGGGTAAGCATTTTCAAAAAGCTTTCTCTTCTTCTAAGATATGGTGCCTCATTAAAGAGATGGTTGCTAAGAGATTGTGGCAAGCATCATTAAGAGGATCTGATTTGCTTTTTTTCTTACTTTTTTCCATGCACAGGTTTCAGATCAGAATTTATAGGTAAATGGGATAGCAGCATCCCAGGATATTCCTGAGCTGAGATTGTAACCATGGAAAGAATAAAAGGAGACCACACCAGTCCTGTGCAACCAGAAGATGCAGAGAGGAGCAGGACTGGAGAACAAGACCCAGAACTAACTGTACTGGGAAAAGCCCAAGAGTTCTTTCAGATTTGTGATCTGGAAGACAAAGGCTTCGTCACTCGTCAAGACATGCAGGTAAAACAAAATTGGTTATGTGAAATGCACAATGAGAGAAGCTCCTAAAGCCCTTAAAGACTTGAGACTGATTAATTTAGAGTTAAAAATGTCAACACCCTGCTCATAACTTTAAAGAGATAAGTGGGATTTAGAATGATGTCTTTGAAGTCTTGCATAATGCTTGTATTTTTTCTCACAGACAAAGCAACAAAAAAGTGGAAAATCAAATTTTAAAAAATTAAGTTTTAAAAAAAGCCCCAGGAATTCAATTCTATTCTTGTTGAAAACATTGAAACACCATTAAATTCATTACTTCGTGATTTGCCACAGTGTAAGGAGTGTATTCAGTCCACCAATTTTATCCTTTTTTTCAGCAAAATTGTATAAATAAAGTCTTTCACCGTGGCTTCACTGTCAGACAATGGTGAACTCTCAGCTGGATCACATGTATATGTAGGAAGTATAGAGGAACAGTACTTTTAGCATTATTCAGTGTTGGCAGCAATCTTAGGAAATTATGCTTAATTTGTTTGAAGGCCCAAAATCAGATTTGCTGAATATGCTGATGAGAAAAAGCAACTATATTACAAAAGCTCTTGAAAATGTGATTATGGCACATTGCAGAAGTGATAAGATGATTTGAGCCAGTATGTGGCAGAGAACAGGAATATACTCATGCTTGATATGCAAAGCATAGTTTGTGTTAATCCATTTCTACTTCAGTACTTGTAGGTGAAACAGAATTGGGGAGCAGGAGCGAAACAAATTCATCATGATCTACTAATAAAGAAAGCGTCTAATAGAAAATTTAGAAACTTTCCCTGTCCTCAGAAACAAATATGTCTGTATGTATGAAAACACAGTTGAAACAACTTTAACTACCTATTTTGGAAAAGCAAAACCCTCCTAAGTAAACTGCTCAGTTTGCTATCTCTCAGGAGCTTTCTTTGCAGTTGTGTGTTGCCGAGTTTTCTGATGACCTCTGTTAATTATGCAAGTTGAAAAAAGAGAGGAATGCGGATGCTTGCTCTGCTGCAGGCTTTGCCAATCTGTGTTATCTCACTAGAGTAACTGAACTCAAAAAACCAAACATATTGCCGGTGGTAGTGTTTGGTAAATCCAAAGCCACAGAGAGTTTAATGGGCTACAATTTTACAGTCTTTCTGAAAACTGAATGGCATAGATTTTTACCTAATAGAAACCCATATAATTATGTGTATGTATACATATATAAAAAAGTTTTAATACCTGTTTTTTCAAGAAATGTAAAATTATTTGATTTTATTTGATTCTAGGTTTATGCTTAGAGTGCTGCTAAATTTATACTTCAGGTTCTAAAACAGATGTTGCAAAAGATACAGTAGAAATAGTGTTGCAAACAACAAATAAAGTTCTATTTCATTCTTCTATTTCATCATGTTTGTTTACTATATCTGAAAACGTCATCTGTGTATGTAAGTGTATGTAAGTTCTTTAATACAGAAATAAAGGTGCTCAGGAGATTTGAGGTAGTGTTTCTTTATACTTGATTTTATTTCCTGCATTTTTCATGATGGTTTCTCCCTATAAAAAAAAACCCAAAATTCAATGAAATAAATCAGTATTTTCCTTAAAAGGCACTAAGTGTTTATCACTTTGTGTTGTGCTATGTTTGGTAGGTCTGTACTGCTTATAATTCCTGAAGCTTTGCTTCAAATATAGGATGCTAATGCTAAGCTTTTTAATCTTTAGGCATTGGATAGAAGGCATGATTTCAACAGAGTGCTAAGTATCTGAAATTTAATTAATCTTGATGGAACAAATCTTGCAGTGTGTTTTCTCTTGCGTCTATAACAGTTACTACACTAAAGATTTACTCCTCCTTGATTATATGATGTTGTTTATTGTGAGAGGATGTTAATAGTTGGATTTAAAAAAAATTCATTCCATTTCCAAATATCAAATGTACCCAACTTTCAAACCAACAAGAGGTTTTCTGAAATGGCAAGAAAGAAAATTCTACCTTTGACTTGAAACCCCAGTTTCATCTGTTGGTCCTTGAGGTTATAATGAATAATGAAAATTAGTGCTGTAAAATGTTTTGTTCTAATGTACGCGGGAGGATTGGGTTCAGATGTTGCTCTTAGCTATTTGACCTCTGTCCTTGAATTTAGCTGAGTAAAAGCTTGGTATTTTAGGAGAATTAAGCACAGATGTCATGAAACCACAGAGCACATTTGGTGGCAGTGCAGATAGCTTCTTTTGATGCCCCAGTGGTATCTCTGAATATGTTTTATTTTGCTTTGTTTTCTTTAAAAAATTTTAGGAGCCTCATGTTGAAAGGGCCTATGTATTTTTACAGAAAGCTTGAAATGAGCAAATAAACAAAACCACATCAATAACATTTTGCTTTCCTAGCCACAAACCACTTAAGAGGTTGGGAAAACATTGACTTAATCTTAGTGTGTCCCAACTCATAAAAGTCTGCAAATTATCTGGAGGGAATTTAATGGAGCAAAATGTTGGTACATTCCTTAGAATCTCCAATTTTCATACCTTCCCCCCCCCCCCCCCCCACCAAGAAAATGCAATTGTGGTGTTTTCGACCGTAAATTTAGTGTAATTCTCACCAGAATTTGGATGCTGCATTAAGGCACTGCAGCTGAGGTTGGAGAAGCCCATATTTGTCAGTCAGGTTTGCAGCAAGACCCCCAGGCCATTGCACTGAATAGCAACTGGGTCTGGGTTTTTGGCATGGTCAAATTGGGTGCTCCTTCAGCAATTCTCAAAGATCTGGTGGTAAGCGTACAGTTTCTGTTTTTCTGAATGTAAAAAGAGTAATTTGTTTGAAGCAACTCATCAGTGTGGTGTTGGCCATAAGAATTTTACAGAAGAAGCTGATTATAAAAAGTTCCCCTTTAGATCTTAGAGATTGAAATCCAAACTTTGGGAAGATGGGTGTGTTTAAGTAACAAGCGGAACACAGGTGTATCACTGATGAAATAAGTAATTTAAACTGAGTATACATCAAGTTTTTCTGGGTTTTATTTTTGGAAGCAGACAGCAATACACAACTAATCCTGCTCAGAAATCCCTCTGTAACTATTCCAGATCGTTCTGTGCTTTAGCAGCTCTGTTGCTTTTACTTCTCAGGGCCACCTTGGAATTCCTTTTAACACTCTTATCCATGCAGTTCATAACTGTTTGTGGCAACCGGGAACTCCTGGTTAATGTGGCAACCGGGAACTCCTGGTTAATGCACTCAGCCAACTCTTTCCTTGCCTATATGGCTTGGAATATTGAATAGTGGTTTCTGCTGTTTTGGATGGCAGGATAAGCATTTTTGGCCCAAAATCCCACTGCCACAGTGGAACAGATCTGCACTTTTAATCTAATGAACTTTATCAACCTACTAGCTTACAGTTTTAATATGTTGTATATAAAACAAGAGTTTGGGGGGATTAAAATGTTAATTAATAAAGCAGAGGAGTGAACCAGTGTGCATTTATATTGCTTCTCAAGCTGAGGAAAGGTTTTAATTTTCCTAGTGCTGTCTCCCAGTGGAAATGCTGGTTATTTGTGTTGTTTGCCACTCCAGTTTCCTCCTGTTTCTGGGAATCTGTCTACACTTAAAAGAATTAGAGTAAAACCATTAGGACCAGTTTTATATTATTCTTTTCTTTTATGTTTTTAGATTATCAGGAAAAAAAATATGTGATATTTTTTGGAGCTGGTTTTATGCAGCTGTGTCTATTTTGGTGTGAGTATGCTGCATTTCAGAAGTAGACAGTCGTGAACTCCATTGCACTCACTGTGGGAGCAAACAGGTTTGGTCCTCAGACCATGCAGCTTTCTTAGCTTTGTTTTATTTACTTATTTATTTATGTACACTTTTTGAATCAGCTTGAATTAGGACAGTATATCCTCTATAATGTAGTAATCTAGAGAGTTTCTTGCTTGACTTTATGATGTGGAAGGAGCTAGTTGTACAATTCTGCTGTCAAGTTTGTCCAGAAGCCTGATAACCAAGACATTTCACCAAGATAATCAAGTCATTTCACCAGGATGCTGAGATTCCACCTCAGGTTCTTTCCCTTCCCTTCATGATTTTTGGCAGCAGGCAGTTGTTCTCCTTGCGTTGACACAATAGATTCATAAAGACAAATAAATCATTAAAGCAAATGTCCCTCACTTGATCTGGTTTTGCTCTGTAATTGGATTTTCACTCAGAGAAAATCCTGCTGTACTATGGATGTTTTGTAGAACCCAGTCTTCCTCTTATCCTGTAGTAATGGATAAAGTTGCTGCATGTTTTGTCATTACAGAGACTGCATCCTGAGTTACCTCTTAGTCTGGAAGAACTTGAAAAAGTTTTTGTTACATTGGATGCTGATGGCAACGGCTCACTTACCCCAAAGGAGTTTATCACAGGATTCAGTGAGTTTTGGAAAGCATGTCTCCTCTTTTGAGCTTTATTTATGTTCTGTACTCTCCCCATCAATCAAGAACTTTGTCTTAAGAGGACACTTAATAATGCACAGAGGGAGCCAGACTTTTCCCTAAATATAGCAGATATATGTAGCAGAGGAAGAAGTGGTCAATTTATGTGAATAAATAGAGAAAGGGCTCTGGGGTCCTTCTCTCTTGTGAAAAATGGCAAGCCATGACACAATATGAGAAAATGATGTAATCATCTGAATCACACCTGTTTTAAGCTGTTGAGTAAATCTATGTACAATTTATTGAAGGTTTGCCTTGGGCAGATGGTGAAAGAGGGGAGTCTTGTGTGTTATTTCATATCAGATAATAGGACGTGAAAGATAATTAAAATTATCTTTAATCTTAATGTAAGACAATGCTAGGAATATGATAATGCCACTGTCCTTAGAGCTGTGGAAATGCTTTCTACAATGAATTAATTCTTCAAGTGGTGTTAATTTATTTCAAAACAAAACAGGATGAGACACTTATTACTTCTGTAAGATATGATCTGATAACTTCTTTGTAACTGCCTGTTTTTCAACAGCACTCTTACTGTCATATTCTCTGTGTTTGTCACAGGGTGGTTTTCTCCTCAGATGTGACATTCCAGATAAGATGACAATGTTAGTTAAACTGTGCTTGATTGTTTATGCAGAATCCATTTTGTACCTAATTTTAGCTTTGCTGGCTAAGGTTTAAGCATTTTCCTTAGAAAACTGAATCTCATCTAGGCATGAATTGTAACAGTAAATCTTAATTTAGTTAATAGCTACAAGTCCAACGAACAGGACCTTCCATTTTTGTTTTCATCAGTAGTTTGAAACCCTAATTCTGTCATGTCCCAATGTCCTCATGCCCACTTGAATTTCTTTTTCTAGATAAAATCCCTTTAGAGGTTTTTCTCCCAGAATTGCCCTAAGCCAGGACACCCACCTCTCCCATTGTAGAGGTAGATCAAATGTCTTCACAGGGTATACTCTAATCTGAAAGTTGACATTATTAAAAAATTAATTAATAGATGCTTTGTTTTTCATGAGTTAAATTAAGATTACTTCCATAAGTAGACTCTGCATAACCAAAACTCTTTCTTAAGGGAGGTTGTAAGTGGCTGCCATCTCAAGCAGCTCCAGATCCTGGGGATTCCTCTTGCTTAGGTGCTGGAGCCTAGTGCAGAGACCCAGGTGGGTGTGGCCACTGCTTTCTAGTTTGCAGGTTCAGCTGGTAGTAATGTTAAACAAGTACCCCAAAGACACAGGCACACAAAGGGCATGGACCACACCACGTAAAGGACAGGGATGGACAGTGTGAAGCATGGTACATCTTAACCTGCCACACAGCAGTTACTGGTATTTTCCAGGCCAGCTAGTCCTACATTTGGCTAGGTGATGATGTTGGCATTCCTTCTAGAAGCAGAAGCTGTAGTAGATAAAAGCTGCTTGAGAAGGCAGAGTAATGTCTGGATAAAGCTCATGCTGCACCAATTACTACGAGAGAGTCCTGTTTCTATTTCTAAATGGTGGCAAATCTGAAATTTACTGTAACCCCTCTTTGCAACATACCCCGTTCTGTTGTTCTGTTGCCGACATACTCTCAACATGTTGGATGCCATGAGAAAAAATGCAAGATGGAGTTAAGAAAAACATAAAACCACACCAGTGTTTCTGTTTCCTTGGATCTGTAGAAATTTCTCTACTGGAACTTAGAATATAACCAAAAAATCCTCTGCATAAAATCACAATATCCCCTCGCCCCCAAAAAAATTTGACTTGTGGATGTCCAAATAAAATAGATGGCACAATTGGCATTTGATGGAATGTATCTGGTCTGTGGTAAATGAATACAAATGTATTGATTATTCATGAGACAATTTCACTTCTGCATCCTCACCATACAACTACTGTTAATAAAATGTAGCTTTCTATATGCAATTTATATAGGAATTGAATGTGTGTCTTTGGTCATGCACTAAAAAGAATGTTAAATTTTATTTAATATACGTTTTATCAGTACTGACATTTTAGGTTCCTAATCTATTTAAACTTGTCAAGAAAGAAAACCACAACATTTATGAAGAGTTGTTATTGCAATTTATGTCCTTTTATGTTTTTGCATGGAGATATGAATTTTTTCATTGGTTGTGAATTTTGAGGTGGATTATATACTGAAGGTTAGACATTAAACTGGGCACAAAGCCAGCCATAGAACTCAGGGATCCTTTTGGCATGCCCTATCCTTTTGTTTATTTACCATAAAAATTGAGTTTTAGTATGTTTAGTATGACATTGCTTCTTACAGTAATTTCTGAAAATGCTAATGTGTGTAATTTCTAATTCTTAGGCCAATTTCTTTTGGAGCAGATTGCTTTGAAAAATGACATGGTGCAGCCATCAAAAGGTGAAACACCCTGCCCAGTTAGATATGAAGAGACCATGACTGGTGAAGAGGATGAAGAATTCCAGTTCTCAAATCTCATGGATCGGCTTGGAGCTGCAAAGGTTTTGGATGAGTGAGTTCTCACAGCAATAGTCATCAGTTGTGTGACCTCTGGGTTTGATTTTAATGGAATCCAAGATGGATGGCAAGAACAAAAGCTGCTCAAAACCACAGAGATTCTTTTAAAAACTAATTTTCCTGCTGTCATGATAAAATGCCATTTGATCAAGTTTCCAAGAGCAAAACTGTTTACTCCAGGCACATGAAACATGTTTTTCTGCCATGTGATCTGAACATAGATAACTACAAGCGTGTAATCCACAGATGTCACTGATTTTCAATCAATGTGTGTTGATGCTGTTTTTGGCAAGGCCTGTGTTTAAAGTGCACCATAAGTAGGGAAGTTTTCTCCACTTTTTCTGCTTTTTCTCCTCTTCTTGCCTAATTCCAGACTGTGATTGCTCTGGTAATGCTACTTCTTCCAAGGCCAGGATGGATCACTCTGAAACATGGAGCATAAAACCTGCTCACAGAACTTTTTGTGTGCTGGCCTCACATTCATTGGTCAATCACAATGAATACTGTGGAACAAAAAAAAAAAAAAAGCATTGGGCAAAAATGGGAGAGAATCTAGACAAGTGATACAAATATTTAAGAAATACATCAGTGATTCTTACTATGGACAAAAGTGCTCATCTGTCCTTCTCTTCCCCTGACTGCCTGTTCCAGGAAACAGTACATGTCATCCATCCCGAAAATCTTTCATTATGAAGAGATGTTTATCACCCACTTTTTCTATCCTTATCCTCATTTTGTCCTTTAAATACAGCACTCTTTACTGGCTAGGTTCAGGATTGCAATGCTCATGGAAGAGAGTGAGTCAGGAAGAAACTAAGTGGTTCAGGAGAATATTGGCAAAGTATTAGAAACTGATTATCATTCACAATAGAGCTGTCAGTGTCTGCTGAACAGATTTGGAAACACAACATTATCTTGGTAAATCTTTAAATCAAAATTTCAAGATGTTTTGTTCTGCTTTTTGTAGCAGAATCACCATGGAAGAAAAATGTATCAAAAATTACAGAGTGCAGTACAAATGCAATTTGTTAATATATCTGTGTTACTTAGGAGTCTGAATCTCATTAATTTCTTATGAGGGAGGGATTTTGATTAGCTTTTCCACTTCCCCCTCCCCTCTACATCTGTGAGAACTTCTTTACTTCTAGTAGAAGGGCACACTGTGTCTCGTCTGTCTCCTTTCTTACCCATTCCTGCTTAGGTGCAGTGTCTGGCAAGGCACCCACTAAACAAGTAGTTCCTGTACTATTGTGCAGTCAGGAATGGCTAGATGTTGCAATGCATTTTTTTAAAAGTAAATTCAATCTCCATAATTTCCCACCCCCTCATCCTTTTCAAATCTGGCACAGTTTAAGTTGTTTGTAATAAGTTTTGTGTTCTGACTAGTGTTGCCCTGAAGCCTCGATCTACTAAGGGTGCTAAGGACATTTACTGCAGCCTGGGAAATGTTCTCTGTTAATGAATCCTTTATGATGTTTTCTTTCAGTGAGACTGATGTGAAGCAACTTTGGTTGCAGCTAAGAAAAGAAGAACCTCATTTACTTTCCAATTTTGAAGAGTTCCTGGTCAGAATTTTTTCCCAGCTCCAAGAAGCAGATAATGAGAAGAATGAGTTGGAAAGTGCTCTAAAAAAGTTAGTAGTTCTCTTTGTTAGACTGCTTGTGTAGTTTTACAGCTATTTCACCTGCTATTTGAACTTCTGAAATAAACAAGGTATTTCAGTGGAGAATGAAGGACAAGACTTCACATAATGTAAAATTTCCTATAATGAAAAATGTTGTCAGTCATTAAGACTACTCGTAGAACTATTCACATGGCAGAGCTGAATTAAATTAGCTTTTCTCTTCTGCTTAAGATTTTATAGGTTGAAATTCTTTTGCAGATATCTGTTATTGCATTGAAGTTTTAAGACAATATTGAGTGATTCCAATCTAGTTAATCAGTTTGATTCCAGAGGAAAGTCATATTTAACAGTAAATCTGGTAAATTGTCTGTGTGCTTTGTAAGCATTGTGTGCAGAAAAGCTATAAACCTGGATTAACTGGCCAGAGACATAAGAGGTTTAAGATGTTAGAGCAGCACAAAGCACTGATACTAGTGAAACTGTAAGCTGACAAATATATATAAAGCAAAGCTATGAAATACAGTAAATAACATACTTATGTTTTATATATAAAATGTATAAAATAAACAAATACATGAAATACACATACAAAAATATGTATAAGAACTAAAAATTAATAGATCATACTTTTATATGTAGTTATCTAGAGTAGAAAATTTATGATGCTAAATCTTAACAAAATGCAGAATTATGGGCATAGTTGAAGTTCCACTGTATTTTTATTTTAAAGTGTTACTTCTGAATTTCAGATTCTTACAGACTGAGCAATAAAGGCAAATGTGTTGTTGAAAATTTACTTCATTTTTTCAGCACTCTCCTGACTATTGTAAGAATGTGTCAAGGCTTATGAAGAAGGAAAAAAACTAAAAATGTATGATCATTAAAGACAATTGGTTTAGTTTAGTAGTAGCATTTTCTACTAAGTCCCTGTGTGTGGTTTTAGCCTTCAGGCAGCTGGAAACAGCATACAGAGAGTTTTGCTGTCTGTTTTAGTCTAGAGATTGTTAACTACCGTGTGTGGTGAGAGGTTTGTTCTGTGAGGTTTTTTGGGGATTCTTGTGAGTGTTTCTTTGGGAGCTGAATGAATAAATGTGTCTCTTTAATAGCTCTGATCAGTGCAGAGGTGTACAGAGAGTACATTAGCATTATCTTTTCTGGCTGATGTGAAATCTCTACCTTGAAAGTGCGTTGGATTTTTATTCCTTTGTAGTAGACATATGTTTTAGCTAATTTCTTCTTTTTGTTGTTCCTGATAACACCACTGATTTCAGCACGTTGATTGTTGTGTTTGTAGTCGATTGCTGGAAGGAATCAGAGTAGTAATGCTGTCTTTGCTAGTAACAGTGGGAATAAATAACCTGTTTCTTTTGAACGATGTACGTATCACAACAAAGCTCAAGACAGCACCATATAGAGGAGAAGATTAATTTTTTTAATACCCACGTACTCACTAGCACTAAAATGCATGTATCTGCAGAGACTGGCCAGGGTTTACTGAGGGGTCACAGAAGAGAAGGGATGCTGGGTTTTGAGGACCTATAATGTCTACTGGGTTGTTCTTGATTGGTGACAATAACACTTTTCGGAAATTGACTATGATTTTGATCTTTCATCTTTCCTTCCTGAGTCTTTCCTTCCTGACTCACCTCTGTGAGTCATTAGGCAATAAGGCAGCCTTTTTTCTCATTTCCTGGGTGTAGGCTGTGCTTTTGTCTTCAATTGTTCCTTTTTCTTCTATACTGGATGCCCTCACAAGCTTCATGTGTGTTTGCTAGGATTTTTATGCCATAAAAATCTATGCTCTTCACCCGTGATGTTTTTCTCTACATTTTTTTTTGGTCTTTTCTTCTGGACCTTTCGCATGTGCATATTTTCATTTTTGAACCTGAATCCCGTGGTCTGAGAGATCCAGGATTTTCCTCCTGCTCTGGTTCAATAGATCCAGTAAGTTGCTGCTGTTCTTGTTTGTAGGTCCAGACAGCAGTGAGGCTGAAGATATATTCTCAATACACAAACATGCAAATAAAGCACACATGGGGGACTCTGCAGGTTAATACTGATGTAACTAAAGAGAGGGGAAAAAAAAAAGGCGGGGGGGTTTTTCAATCTAAACCAAATGTGATTTTTTGGGTACAATATTTATTTGCCAGGGTAGGTTAGTTCTCCTTGATTTTTGGTATTTGTGTTTAATTTTAAGTGCTAGTTTAAAATTAGATGGCTTCTTAAACATAGCAGTAGCTCGTTTTTAAATAATAGGGTGATGTATTGAGCACCCAAAAAAAAGCAGAGATGAACATTAGGAAGAGAAAATAAAATCATGCTTCTGTGATGAGCTATTACAATTCCAGAGAAAGCCCATGGGAGCATTGCAGAGAGCTTCCCAGAATCAGCCAGAAGGGCCCAGTAAACTGCTGGGCACTGCCAGAGAGGATACTGGGCATGTGGCAAAGCATATTTTTTGCTACTACATGGACTCTTAGTACACCCATGTCCTGAGTGCATTATGGGGAGTTCTGGTCTCTACAACACAGGAAGAGTATAGTGGGATGAGGAAAAGTGCAGGGAATGGCAACTCAGTGGTTAAAGGAATAGAGCAGCTATTCTGAGAGAGCTATTTTTAAAAGGTCGTATCTCTTGAATGAGGAGGTAAAGGCTGGAGTGGAATATGACAGACCTTGTTATTCTTCAAATCTCTGGCAGTAGAACTAAGGGGCTTTTTATAAGACTGATAGGAAGTAAGCCTAAAAGAAATGAAAAAGACCTTTTTCTTCTAATAGCAGACAAAATCTTTAAGTGCCATTAGCTCTGTCTGCTGCTGTGCTTTGCATTTGAAGGACAAACCTAATAAAAATGTAGACTGTTTCATACAAGAGTTCTAAACAGGCAAGATAAACAGAAGGGTAAAGGGGAAGGGAAGGATGAACTGACTTCTCACTTAGCATGGGATAGTATCAGAATCCATCTTTGTGGAAGATGAGGAGAATCAGCATCTCAGGAGATTAGTTCACACTGTGCACAAATCACTATTTTTTTTAAGGAGAAAGAAACATTGTGACAAACTGCACTGACAGCAGTTGTGAAATCAAAACAATTCACATTGTAGCTACATGAATGGGCAGAAGTTAAACCGTTGTAAGTGTGTTGATCCTGAATCTATCATCTGAACTTAGTAAACTCACACTACATTTCATCTGCTTTCATCTCTATGTGTTTATTCCAGTGTTACTGAAAGGAGAGACTAAATTATCAAATACGACTGAAATTATAAAATTATATGTTAAGTAAAACTTGAAGGGGTAATCCAAGGGAATAGAAAAACATGTTGCATTTTTCACATAAAAATGATATATCCTTATTGATTTGGGTTTTTTTCTCCTGAATATATGTGGGGAATATTTGCCAGCTATTTTTTTTTTCTTCTGCTTATTAGTTATTTTACTTATAATTGTTAGATTTTTGATTATGAGGGGATATTATTTCTCCCTTCTTTTTAATTTGATCAGAGAGTTGAATTAAAATCCATGAATGAAATGCTTGGAGGATATTCAGCCTGTAGAAATGGCATGTACTTATGTGCCAGGGCAACGGAAAAGATTCCTACATTCAGTAGTGCTTTCAGAATGTAGTCTTCATGGTGCTACCATATCCTTTGCTTCCAAACACATTAGAGGAAAAAAATACCAAAATCAGGAAGTTAAAACACAGGACTAAAGTTATTCTCCCTGTCACACAGAAGCCCAGGAAATCTTTATGATTCCCATGGAAACACTGGCTGCTGTGCAGTGTGTTCTGCCTCTGCAAAGTTACAGGGCTTTTCAGTAGTCAGTCTAGTGCTGGTCAGAGTGACATTTTGCTGCCTGAATACAGTAGGTGTATGGTTCTAGCATCTCTGCCATGCCTTTCTAAGTAGCTGTTTTTCTCTATGAATTTGTGTAATTTCATTCTATTGATGAGTGCTAATTTAATAAATTAGCATTTTATTATTTTCAAGAAAATAATTTGAGATCAGAACATGACACATCATTACAGTGTAAGAGGAGTAAGGCAGCAAAAAGGGCTTCTGGATTTTCTGGCACTCTCTGAAATGTTGCAGTCACATGGCAGAGGCCCTTTTGGAGTCTGGTTTTCTCACCTAGTCAGAGTTTATGAAAGTCTAAGTGACAGCCATTGTTTTTCTCCAATTCTTGTAGCTTGACAGTTGTTTATTGCTTCTGTAAATCCTGGGAAAATGTCTCACATTTTTTTTTACCTGGGACTGAAAGAACGAGCTGGTAGTGTCAGGTGTTCTGCTGTTGAAAGAGGGGATGACAGACCTGTTTGGTTTTACTCACTCTTCTTATATTTGGCAAAATTTTTGAATTTTCTTTAAAATTGGCTTTGTTTTAAAGCCAATTAGAAGTGAACCAGGCCTTCAATAAGGGAAAACATAGAATATATACTGTATTGGGTTAAAAAAAAAAAGGTAGATACAAAATAAATGTTGTTTTTTTTTTCTACTGCATGTTCCTTGTCTTGCTCTTGGTGATGTGAATGCCCTTGAAGATTTGGCACTTTATTTGTGACAGATGAATTATGCAGATTGCTCAAGGAACAGCTATGGCAGAAAGAATATGAGGCAATACGCAGTACTGTCAGATAACAGTCCTAATAATCACAAAAAAAAAATTATTCTAGGATGTCCCTTGAGTTTGATACAAAGATATTTTTGCTTTTCAGTGTCTGGATTAATGAGCATAAATAGAATAGTAGCAGAACAAAGCAGATATCTTGTTCCCTGTCAACAGTTAATTTTTTTCTGTCGAAGCAAAAGATTTGCTTTATGTAATCCTTCACGGATCAAACTGCAGTGATATTAATTGCAATATTCCACTGGAAAAAAGTGAACTTTGTAGGTTGTTCTTTTTTCTTCCTGCGGTTGTGCACAGCATATTTATTTCTGTTCCTCATCTGGGCTATTCAAATTTATTTCAGCAAAGCAGTTAGAGAGGCAGTAAGACTGCTTTCACGAAGGTCTTTCAAGAATTTCATTCCAGCTAATGTGTCTTAGACAGAAGTACCTCATTCAGTACCCTTGAATGGGCAACAGTGCAGTCCAACAGTACAAAAAAGGAAGTTGCCATGAAAATAATTTTAACTGTCAAATTTAGGTTCTGATATCTTACATTGTCATTAGAAAATTCTTCCTTATACCTATGATCTAGGAGTCATTAAAATTGCATAATGAACAGCTGCTTTATATGGAAACATCAGCTTTATATTAGCTTTTGAGCTACTGAAGCTTTACTTCCATGAGAGAAAAAAAAATCTGTGAGCTTTGCTGCACAAAAATTTCTATTTTCTTGACACTAGAACATTCTTTGGAGTCTTGTGCTAAGGCAGAAATGTGGAGCTTAGCTGGTAATGTGGGCCATGACTTGAGGTAATGCTGCAAAGAGCCACTCAGTGTATTTTTATCTCTTATTAGGAAAATTGCTGCTTATGATGAAGAAATTCAACATCTCTATGAGGAAATGGAACAGCAAATCAAAAAGGAGAAAGAGCAGTTTCTCTTGAAAGTGAGTGTCTCTGTTATAGTGGCCATGGATTCTGCTCCCCCTTTCAGTGGTTTTAAACTCGTTCTGGGTGTGAAATTAAAGCCCACAAAATGTGTTTCACAACAGAGGAAGGAAAACCTCACAAGCTACTTTTGTGCTGCTGTTTCAAACTTCTAGTCTCTGCAGCTTCAAGCTTAAAGTGACTTGTTGGATGAAGGAGCTGTGATGTCCTGTGCTCAGTGGCTGTCATACAGCACAGCTGGCATTCTTTTGAAAGTCACTGGAACTACAAACATTGTTGGTGCTACTCTGAGTCCAGCTTCTGATCACAATCAGGAAAAATGCTCTGTGAGATTGTTCAGAGCAGCACCACTCCTGTTGAATTCTTCGGTCTCTGATTTTTGGGAGGGGATAACAAGAGATGAATCAAGTGATGGTAATTTGCACAACAACTACAGGTTATTTGCAAAATAAACACAGGGCAGAATCTCTTGTCACTGCCATGGTGCTTCCAAAACACCTGAATTCCCTTTTCTTGGGAAGTTGTCTTGAAATCTCCTCTACTGTGTCTGTAGACTTTTCTTTGGATTTTTCTTTCCTGCTTCTTTCCTCTTTTTCTAATAAAATTAGGAAATTAACAAGGACTTTCAGCATGCTCCAGGAAAGAGTCACCTTAGAATCTTGTAGGTGGGCAGGTGATGCCTTACTTCCTAGCTAGATCAGGATGCTCAGGAACTTGGCCAATTATGTTTTGAGTATTAAAATATGGAGTTCCACAGCTGCTCTGGGTGGCCTGGGACAGTCAGTCATGAGCTACCGGCTCATTCCTTTTTGTTGTCTTGGTATCAGTCATGTAAATGAAACAAATACAAGGTTTCAGCAATACATGATAAAAAAAGTTGCCAAAATAGTGGTTATTGCCTCCATTCTCAATCAAGTATGTATAAATATATCTAGACAATATAATCAAATGTATCTGAAGCTTCCTTTTGTGATGCAACCATATCAAGTATTTTTTGTTCCCTGGCAACCAAAATAAAATAAAAGAAAAAGAAAGAGAAAAAAGAACTAAAAAGTGCCTTATCAGCTGTCTAAGGAATAGTTATTTTCACTTGTCTTACTGGGTAGTGAATCTGACTCAAATTTTCAAGTTTTTTTCCATTCCGAGCAGAGAGCAGTTTTTAGTGGTGGATGGGACGAAAGCTTTAAATAAAGTTTGTATACCAGCTGAAGGATAAAAAGTATTTGCAACTTTGCCTGACAGCACTTTTGTGGAACAAATGTGTTCATAATAGTTCACGACTGCAGTGGTACTGAAAACCCCAAAACAAGAAAGACATTTCCATAAGCAATGATTGTTGGATCTCCTAATTAGTTATATATTTGAGGTTAAGCCATTTCCTTCAGGCATTTTCATGAAAGCTTCCCACTCAAGCTATTTACAGTTTAGTCAGCAGTCACACTAAGGGCTGCCAGACACTCATGAAGTATTGTTTCTTTGCATGGCTAATTTGAGATCCGGGGAGATCTGACTGTTAAATTCTTTCTCTAATGCAAAGTCTTACAAAGACTTTACAGCCTGGAGAGATGCATTGATGTCATATGAAGGGGAAATTATTGTGGCTTGAATGAAGAGCAGCTCTTGAAGAATACATTTAAAGAAATTGCTAAGATGCAAATAAGTACAAATTGTAGCTATTTACAATACTTAATACCCTGCTGACTGAATGTTACACAAAAGGGGCAGTTAGTCTGTTTTTTTTCACTTCCATATATATTCTTCCCCAGAAAGAGCCAGTTACCATGCATTTCATTACCCCATTACATGTACTGTTTAAGGGAAAACACTTGTAAGAACCACTGCTGTCATAAGGGAATTTTTATTTTTGTTTAAAGACATTTTCCTGGGGACCTTAGAGAGTAAAAGCCTGTTTTTGGAGAAACAGGACAGATTCTCAGCTGATACAAACTTTTGGAGCCTGATCTTACTCAGGAGAGGGTGACAATTTTTCTCAGCTGAGGAGTGTCAGAAGGCATAATCCCAAATGTGACTGGGAGTTTCCCAGTGACTGCAGGATAGTGGACAGGTTAATATAGTTTATAAGTGAAAGGCAGAGCTTGAAGCCCCAGTTGCTTGTTTACACCAGTGGAACATCTGTGAAAAATTGATGTTAGTGGCGGATTTGAAGCGTGGCACTTGTTTCTTTCACATCAGCCTGAGTTGCTGTGTCTGGAAACAAAAGTGTATGTTCTGGCTGCATTGATCTAGACTGGCTCAGCTCCTCAGCTTCCTGCCTGAGATGTCTGCCTGCACTTTCTAGACTCAATACCTACTCAATACCTACTCAATACCTACTCATGTGCAATCAGCACATTCTGTAGCAACTACAGTCATGGAAGCTGCTGCACTATAATAATTTAGAGATTCATGAGTGATACCATCCCTAAACTGAGTACTACCTGTGATTTGAGATAATTACTGTGGAAAGCTTAATCCCTGATTCATTGTTCTCCTGTGATGCAATTGTGCTGTTCTGTTAATCCACTTTCTCTTGGAATTTTGCAGGACACAGAGAGGTTTCAGTCCCACTGTCAAGAGCTGGAGCGCAAGCTGCTGTCAAAAGAACAAGAACTGGAACAGTTGGTTCAAAAACAGAAAAGGGTACTAACTGATATCCTTTGGAGTTAAAAAACAGATGTCTCTTATTTGCTTATATGATTTTCTTTAGGTACTATTTTAGGTTCCAAAACTGTGAGTTGGTGTAATGTAGTTCTGCCAAATTGTGATCCTCTGTTGTTTTTGTGCCATATGCTTAGGAAAAATGCTAACCTCTATTTCTAAAGTAGTTTTCCTTTTATGTGGTAAAATGGAGAATAAAATAATGCTTTGCATATTCTCCCCAGGTACTAGGTTAATTTTTATGAGAATGTAGCATAATTCCACTGCCTTCAGTCTTTTACAAACTGGCTTAACACACAGACAGCTTAAGAGCAGAGAACAATGATTTGGCTCTTCTAGTGCACACCTCTGCTCAAAGCCTGTACCAGCCACTCATTTACTTGTTTTGGACTGATTCAGCACTATGAACTCAAAATGCTCCCTCCTGAACAACTTGGTCCTCATATATCTCTGTGATAACAGTTTTATAGCAGTGCATGTTTCCCTTGCATTGGTAACAGCTTGTCAAGTTCCCATAACACCTGAGGTGTTTTGCTTTAAAATGCATGGCCTGCTTGGGGGAGCAGAGAACTTGCTGTAAAGTGGCTCCAAGGTCATTGCAGGAAAGACTAGCAATAGGGAAATGAGGTAGCACTGGCATTTAAAGGGCTGACGCGGAATGCTGTAAACACAATTCCCTCTGTAGAATATGAATTTGTGGACAAAAAGAAGAAAATTTTTCACAATGAGAACCATGAGCCATTGGAATAAACTTCCTGGGGAAGTAGTGGATTCCCCAGCATTGGACACTAAAGATTTAGCTGGGTAGGATGCTGGGTCATCTTGGCTAAACTGTATTTTTGCCAAGAAAGGCTGGAACAGACACACCTTGAGTCACCCTTCCAACCTGGTACTCTGTTATTCTGTGAAGTTTAGCTGATAAGAATGCAGGACTAAACTAAAAGTCTATTCCACAGTTGAAATCAACTGCCTGGTGTTAATTACCTTTGTCTAGTACCACTGTGAATCAGAATATATGTGGTTTTATGCAGGCTCTTTACCACATTGCAGCACTGTAATAGAATAATCTATACTTTGAAGATATCTGTGGAGGCATACAGATCAGGCATTTTTAGTCTGAAACTAACTGTGAAAGTATAAGAAATTACTTATTCTAATTTTCTAATGATTATATTTAATATTTTCTTTTGTTTGTTTGTTTTTGCTTTAAAGCTCTGTTTAAAGCTTGGTTGTTGACTGGTAATTCTGTAAAAAACTCTTCTTTTTTAAAATCAAGTACGTGTTTTCTAAATTTGGTATAAAACCCACCCAAGCTATTAAAAGGCTTTTACTCAATTTTAAACCTGGTATAATCAATCAATATAGGCAACAGTACCAGGAAGTCTTATCTTTTGATTGTTGTCTACAATGCCATTGTCTACTATTGCCTATCTTGGAGAACATAAAACAATGTCTGTGCTATTTTTATTAGTATTATTTTTTAATCTGATTTTATGTTTTCCATTTCTATTCACTACATTGCTTATTATTAATAATATTACTATGGGGTTTTTTAATTTGTACTTTCTAGTATTTATCATTTCCTCTCTCCATTATGAATTTGCATGAATCACAACAAGAGTGCTTTTGAAAGACAGACTCTTCATACACCATAAATATTAAACTATCCCATTTTGGTTTCATGGAAAGGAAGCTGTGTTGGACGAATGGAATTCACCATTTCTAATGCTGAGATGACATAATTTAATTGAGATGATTGATGACAACTGAAGCTTTTGTCATTCAACCAGCTGATTGGCCCATTTTTAATCTGATATGCAGTATTTGATGGGGTTTTTTCCTGGTATACCAACCTAGCCCATTCATTTGAGTGCTTAACTCACCGTAGTTAGAGGCCCATGTTTTCTACATGTATTTTTCTGATTTCTAATGATCCTCTCTGAAAGTAATTCTCATCTTTACTCAGATCTGTTTTTACAATACTATGTCCCTACTCATTTTCTGGTGTTGCTTTTCATTCACTGAGATACCCATGAGTAGTGTCTAATGTTTGCCTTATCCAGAGATCTCTCACTTTTTCTTCTTCCTCTGGCATGGAAATATACTTTGATAATTAAATCTCTTCTTGCATACAGTAAAGGTAGCTTGATTTAATTATGACTTCTATGCTTGGTTGTATGAGAGAACTGCTTGAGAGCAACACAAATGCTTTTTTCCAAACTTCATTAATAAGTCATTTTTTAAAATGTAAAATACAATATAATTGTTTTTGTATTGGAAATCGTTAACAAAAACATGAAAAGGAGCTTTCAAACCAGATGAGCTCTGTGTTGTTTCCTCTGACATAGCCAGAGGGATTTTCCCTTATAAGGGTTGTCTGGCTGGCATTGTTCCTCAAGGAATGTCAGTTGGAACATCTCAGGAGGAGGCAATGGGGACAGAGGATATCCAGCATAACCTCTAGGGCACAGACTCTTGTGTGAGAGAAGAAAGCAGATGTGGACCAGGTGAAATGCAGGGGAATTACTGGACTTCTCACATAAAATGCTGGGTTCTGTGCTGAGGCACCTGCTGAAGAACACGATCTTGGAATTGGGAATGAGATGCATAAAACATGGATCAGTAGCATTCAAGTGATTATAACTGCCTTGTGGCACTGCATAAATTTTGCATCTTTCACATGCTACTGAAATAAATAGGGAGGAAAAAAACCCCTACAGAAAGAATGCTGAGCTAAGAACAAAGGATTGCATGGACAGTGGTCAGTGTGGGGCACCAATAAATGTCTTCAACACCAGCTCATTTGCATTTGATAATCCCAGTTCTTTATTCAGCTTGAACTCGATTTTCCTCTCATCTTTGTCAAAAAAAGAAAATATGCACTATCAACTACCATATCCATGCTTGACCTGGATATGGGTTAATTCTCTCTGCTGCTTAGATTTTTTTTAAACATAACTATGGGCCATGAGTCTTTTCCCCAGCAGTTTCCATCTACCAGATGAACACAGGAGCCAATTTGCAACCCTAGTAAGCATCTAGAAGCTATAGGATGTATGCCATTCTACTACCAGCTGAGCATTCTCCAGTGAGTTATTTCTTTGTATTGGGAGTTGTTTACGTGAATGCTTTAAAGGTAGTGTTTGGCATTTCTCAAAGGATTGTACCCTCAAAGGGTAAAGTAGAAGAAGGGAGCGTTGTATTGCTGTGAAACAATCCTTTCTCCTCTTGTTGTGTTCTGGGTTTTAGACATTATATTATAATTTTTCTGACAAGAGTGAGCACCAGGATTTATAGCAAGTATTTCTAACATCAGTTGTAGATGATTCTGGGAGCTGACGTTGGCTGCCATTGCGTTACATTTCCAGAGCAGTCTCTGTGTAAGTTTTCAGATGGCCATTCTGCTCTCTAAGTGGGGTTTTTGTCTGCAGCTTTTTGCTCCTTAGATTTTTGAAAGTTTATCTTTGTTTGGACACCTTTTGCTTCTCCCAAAGCCTCTCCTCTGGATGAATCTTAAGTACCTGAAGCAGCTGATCTTATACTTAGAATGGGTAACTTTGTTCTGTCGAGGAGCAGAAGTATCCCTGTAAGCCAACCTTGTTCAGCAGTAATCTAATGCCCACCCAGTGTTCCATGGGAAATGTGAGCCTGCTGAGGCTACAGTTCAGCAAATACATTAAACTGCTGCTGCTGCTGCGTGCTCCCATTCTACATGTGTTTCTGACTTCTCACAGTCCAGGCTAGAAACTATTTTCTGCACTTATTTTTAACCTGGGCCTCATTCTAGCAGTGTTCTAGGGTAGGAACTGACTGGAAGAGCTGAGTGAGGACAGATTTTGGGTTGGGTGAGCTCTGCTTGTTGGGTTGGGCAAAATAAGAGTTCAAACATTGTTATGTCTCAGATCTGGAAGATTGAAATGGTGTCATTGTAATGCTCAAAGTATGATTTGCATCCCTTAAAATGAATACAGAAAAAAAAAAAAAACAAACCCAAAATAAAACTTTTTTATTTTAAGGTCAGCAATGCTTTCCCTAATACAAAGTTTTGCTCTGCTGTCTAAATTTGCTCAGTTAGCCAGGGAGAAGCAGGTAGAACTTCTTTATGTACCAGAAACCACTATCATCTGCTGTTGCTTGTTTTACAGGGAAGTTGTATCTTTCCTTTGATGTACATTGGAGAAGGAATATAAAAGTGAATAAAAAGGCTCTAATTCACACTTCTTGGCAGATCTGTCTGAAGTGGCAAAAAGGTCGCTGCTTGTTCATATTGCTGGGGATGGGAAGGTTTATCAGCTATCAGATTTAAATCTAGCAGTTTTTAGGTAGATCTCTGAATCACTCTGTGCAGGTCTGGTCTTTGTGGAAAATGGTCTAAAATAGCAGTTGTGAATATCAGCTTAATGCTGCTAATCTGCTGTGTAGCACCTTTTTTATGGTTTGTATTGCTGTGTTCCTGAAGTGGATAAAATTCAGTCATAGAATGGAATGGCTTAGTTTTTGTGTAACATAATTATGTCTGTACAAAGAGCAGTGGAAGAGCACAATATGATTTTTTTCATTTTTTGGCTTTGATAGAAATAGCTCCCTGCTCTGCTAACCTCTAAGATCCAAACTGAAAGCCTCAAAACCAAGTTTCCTCAGTCAGGTGTAATGCTTTCTGTTCTCTTTTCTTCCACCCCAGTTAGAGCATCAGTGTACACAACTCCTCAGTGGCAAAGAAGAAACCAAAGTAGAGAACACCAAACTGAAGCTGACTAACCAGGAGCTGCTGAGAGACCTGGAGAGAACATCCCATGAGCTAAGCCTGGCTCAACAGCAGCTGCAGGTGCTTCAGGAGGAGGCATCAAGGCTCCATGAGGAGAAGGAAATGTAAGTGTCCAGCTGCAGCAGTTCTTGTGCACTTGCTTGCTGTGCCAGTGAACCCCCTCAGAGTACCCAGTGCTGTGATTTAAGCTTGTGTCAAAAGCAGAAACTACTTGCAAAGCTGAGTGCAGTTCTAGCTGCTTTCCTTCAAGTAATTCAGCATGTTTTCTGTAGCATATGTGGCTTCTATGGAATCTTTTGCTACGTGTTCAAAATGTCAGTGTTCTTCCCACTGCCATTGGTTGAGTGTGATTGGAATTAAAACTCCATGTAGTGTCTTAGTTTTGAGATACCAATGGAATTCCCTATGTAAATGCCTTACAGTTGTGGCACGTGATGCTTCTTCCTCCTCAAAGCTGAGTCTATCTGAAACTTGCTTCTCAGAATGCACTCTGACTGAGATACCTGGGATCTGCTTTTTTTCCTTCATCAAAAGTAAGCCTAGTAAGGCCAGCAAGATAAAATTTAGCTTATCCCAATTCCCACAAGGCTTTATGGCAATTCAGAACCATAATTTTGGGGTTTTCAGTTCAAATGTTGAAGGTTCAGATTCTGAATCCAAAAAAGAAAAAAAATCAAGAAGAAATATTTACAGTTCATATTTTGAGGGATAAAAATGACTTGTGACAGTTCAAGCTACCTGTCTTGCTCCAGCCTTCTGCACAAAGCAGAAGAATCACTGCCCTGAGGCTGTAATTGGCAGAAATGTTCACTCCATTTTAAAGAAAATGCTCAGGGATCTGTAGAAGCCTCTCATTGCTTATGGAGAGAGCACATGAATGACAGATGGACCCAGTTCATTGCAGCAATGAACTATATAATTCAGAGCTGTTGCTGGTTGACATATTTCAGGATAGAGAAGAACATTAGTTCAAATGTCACATTCTTTTTCTCTTAAGATTTGTGCCAAGCTCTATTAAGTTATCACTTCTTTAATTTTTCTTGAGTGTAAAAATAAAGAATTTTGTTGATAAATTAGTGTTAAGGAATGGCCACCGTGATTAGAATTTTTAGGTTTGCATGTTTGATGTGTGTTTTGTTAGTAGACAGTAGAAATACTCCTCCTCAAGGTGGTTTGTTTCCTCTTTGAGGCCTCTCTTTTCAGATCCAGAGCAAAGGCTATGGAATGATCTGCTTTAAAAGCTACAAAGGAAATCTGCCCAGTGGTCAGACTGCTGAATAACACTACTGCACTTACAAAGCACTTTGGATTCAATAGTGGTTTATGGAATTAGAACTCAGCCCTACTCTACTGCACCTGCAGTGTTGCTTTAAACATCTGTGTCAGTCTGGTAAGACCTGAGCTGCTGAAGCAGGTGTAATGTTCAGACAGTGCACAGGAAGAACTTGAGGCTTCACTGAAAGGCGAAAAATGCCATTAAAGGCCAGACACCAAATTGTGTTAAATCAAAGTAAATGGTGTTAAAATGGCTCCAAAAGGGTCAGGAATTGGAAAGAAATTGTAGAGACTGCAGACGTGAGAGCCTGACATATGGTTCCTGCAGCAGGATAAGCTCTAATTTTGGATAAAATGTCACCTGTTTTTTAGTGGCCATAACTGAGAAGTATTCTAGCAGTGTATCTGTTCTGAATGCTCCAAGTGCCAGTATCAACAAATACTAAACTCTCTGGATGAAGAAATTAAAAATAAATATTTTTTGAAAAAATAACCTCTACTCCTTCTACTCCTTCCTCTGCTAACTTGTACTGCTGTGCTATTGTGGGCCTTATACTGAATAAACTTCTTTAAAATATTGACCATTCATGCAGAATAGAATCTACAGTTTTGAAGAAACTGAGGTGTCAAATGTAGATACCCCTAGGGGGAAGTGTTTTAGCAGTGCTCTTACCATGGATCGACCAATTGTTTTTTTTTTTTTTTTTTTTTAGGGAAGTGTACCTAGTGACAGAAACCTTACAGAGAGAGAAGTCAGGACTTTTGAAGCAGCTGGATTTTTTAAGGTAATGTTGATCTTCCAAAAACTTCTTGTATAATTCTAAAGAGATCCATAAAAGGATGAAATTATGTTGGGATATGTAGTGAGTGTTAGCGTCTAGGTGCTGACAGTGGGGTACCACAGGGCAGTCTGTGCCAGAGAGAAGCCAGGGCTGCCCTGTGAGAATGGACACAACACAGAGCACAGTGAAGCCCCATGTGCTTCTGGGAAAGCCTCAGTAAGAATGGGCGGGAAACAACACAGCAGTTGGGATAGAAGAGAGTAAAAAATATGTGAGAAAGCCTTTCAGACACCAAGGTCAGTGAAGAAGGAGGGGTAGAAGGTGCTCCAGGCACCACTGGAGCAGAGTCCCTTGTAGCCTGTGCAGATTCCACACAAGCGCAGGCATCTGGCAGGAACTTGGTCCATGGAGAGGAGCTCATGCAGGGGCTGGTTTTCTGGCAGGAATAGTGGCCCATGGAGGACCCACACTGGAGTAGTCCGTTCCTGGAGGATTATTCCCCATGGAAAGGATCTGTGCTGGAGTTTGGGAAGGACTGTAACCTGTGTGAGGGTACTCACACTGGAGCAAGAAAAGACTGTGAGGAGGAAGGAGCTGCAGAGAGAAGCTGTTATGGGCTGACCACAAGCCCCACTATTCCCCATCCCCTTGTGCCACTCAGGATTGGTTAAGGAGGTGGAAGAGCTGAGGGTGTAGGAGTGAAGTTGAGCCTGAGAAGAAAGGGGATTGTGGAGAAGATGATTTTAGTTTTGTCTCTATTTTTCATCATCCTGCAGTTGAGTGTTTTGTCTGTAATGGGTGGCTGGTAAGTAACCTTCTTGTTTTTATTTTGGCCCACAAACTTTCCTATGTTATTATCTTCCCTTGTTGTGTTGAGGAAGGAGAGTGACAGAGTGGCTGGGTGTACATCTGGCAGCCAGTCAAGGTCAACTGCCACAGGAAAATGGTACAAAAATAGTAAAAATTGTTACAATGGTTTGTTCTTGCATTGAGTAGAGGGCAGCACACCTGAAAAACAGGCTTTGTTTACACAATTCAGTACTGTAGGACAATCTCCTTTCCAAAAGACAAATGTAAAACAGAGCAGCACTGAACAGCTCTAAGCTGAGTGTGAGGTGGAAGCCTGGCTCCAGGAGCTTGCTGAAAGGCTCTGTTGCTTCTCAAGTACTGGGAAGTGAGCCAAAATGAAGATTATTTCCCCAGAATATTTGTAAAATTATTCCAAAATAGTTATCATTCCTTTATTGATAGACTTCAAAGTTTGGAGCAGTGTTCAGACACCTGTAGCCCTCTTTTAAAGGTAAAGCAATGTTGGGTTTTGTTTGCTCAGTGGTCAGTCAGTGTGGGCTGTAGGTTGCACCTCCCTCTAGGCCTTCATTGGCTGCATTTCCTTCAGGAGGTCTTATTTTAAAGTTGCCTAAATATTTCAGAGACTTGAGGAAAGGCTCTTATTTTGCAGCATGTGTTTCTGTGATCTTGCCTGCTGCAAGTTTTGGGGACATAGATAGGAACATCTGGCAGCAGAGGTTTTTTCCATTCACCCTGGCTGCTCAGTCTCTCCTGTGGCCAGGCCAGCAACAGATGGAGATAATAGATGATGTACTAAGCAGGTGTGCTGTGAGATCTGATCAGAGCTTGCTGATTGCCTGGAGTATCTGTTTCTTGACACTTTCATTGTTTCTACACAAAGGATGGAAGATGGATGTTTTCCTAGGGTGACTTTTCTGTGGCAGCCACAATTGGAGCCCTCAGAGAGGCATAACTGGCCTTCACAGCTGTCAGCAGAGGAACAAGAGATGGTGTTCAGTGCACCCTCTCCACATTAAGAGGTCATCTTTACTGTGAAAATCATTAAACATTCTAATTTGTGGTATGTGAAGGCATATTGACCAAAACTGATTTCTATGTGTTAAGGCATTTGTTTAGCTAAAATAAAGGAAGAGATCCAGATCCCATCTGGCTTTAATCAGCATAGCCCTGCTGGAGAATCAATAGCCCAGACAAGGAACTGGGCGAGGTGAGAATATAAATAAAGGATGATGGAAGGTTTGCACTGCCAATTGTCCAGTCTGTCTGTTAGTGTGGAGTAGAAAAGTCAGCAGTTCTAAATACTTGGCTTCAGTGTTCCTTTTGTTTCTGTTTTCTTTGCAGAGAGAGGAACAAACATCTCAAGGATGAACGTGACATATTTTTGCAGGTAACCAACTATTATTTTCAAACCCAGTGTTGAGCAGACACATGTGAGAACAGCTTCAAATGAAGGGGAACAGAAGGCTGTGCAGGAGATGGACTTTCACGCCACTTAAATCTTATCCTGTTCTTAATTTGTATTTTCTTCTCACTTGAAAATAAGATTTTTTAAATTTGCTAAACAATTTTAAGAACTACATGTTGAGAATTATAAAGTGGGAGCTGTCTGAAGAGAGATGAATGTATTTTAGAAGAAACAAAGGATGCAATCATGAAAGCATGGAAATAACCTAAAAATTGAACAATTACCAACTGTTGACTGTTACCCAGTCAACAGTTGGTAATGTCCTGACACATTTACACAAGAGTACAATAACTGGTGTACCTGAATCAGTACCTGAGTACCTCAGTACCTGAGACTGGGGTAAGAGCATATCCTATTAACTTTTTAAGCAGCAGCAAAGAATGGACCCCTAAGATGTTCTAGAAGCACCCTGGTGTGAGGAGACTAAGGCCACTTAGTTTATGTTTGCTTGTGTTCTTAGTCCTACAAGAAGCTGCTTGTGTAAAAAAAAAATACCCATTTACTTTTTTCATGACATTGTGCTGTTTTATTTACAAAGCAGATGCATTTTTGCAGGATCTGGAGTTCCCTGTTCTGATTGTTTATCAATTGGAATTCTGAAACATTTATACCTCTAGGATTTTTTTCTACATTTTTTCATTTGCTTTGCATTATTTAAGTATTTGGAATGAGGGTAGTTAACCATAACGAACACCAGAAGCTAATCAGTAAGAAGTGTTCTGTATTTCTGCAGAAATGCAAAACAACTGTTCCAAAAGCCAGCTGGAAGCAGAGATCAGGGTCTATCATTGGGAAATACTTAGAGGGCAAGATGCTGCCAAACAGGTAGGAACTTTTTTCATGTGTTCCCTGTTTGAGTATGACGAGGCTTAGAGAAAGAAGATGTGGAATGCTTCCTTTCTGATACTATTGAACTTTTCAAAGAGTGTATTTCTTAAGTGTCTGTCACTGTAAGATTACTGTGTTCATTAAGAAATTTGAAAATGAAAAGCCAAATTTTAACATAAAACAAGTGTGCTGTCTGCAAAAGCAAGAGACTTCCCCACTGTAGATGGCTGTAGGCTGGGAGACACAAAAACTTGCCCACAAGTCTATGTTAATGTGGTACCATTCTGAGTCTCCACTTGGACTTTTTTATCCATATTAAGCAAACCCATGTCCTTCCTATCTACTAAAGAGAGAATCAGATTGCACATAGAAATGATCTCTCTTGGGGGTTTCTTTTATTCCTCCAGAACAGGAGTGAAGGTGGGAAAGGAGAAAATCACAGTAGAGAAGTTTACTTTAGCTCTTCTATGAGATTAGAATTGATGTTAATCTAATATTTTCCATTTTGGTAAAGGTTTCTCCTGTAAGTAATGAACTTTCCCCATGATGCTTATAATTATCAATACATGTATATATACATATATATATATAATACCTGGTATGATGACCTGACTTTTCAGCAGACACTGGAATGACTCGACTCTGCTGTGACTAATCAAAAACATGGGAGATTAAATTCAGTTATTCAGATTAAATTCAGAATAAAATAGCAGGTCCATTATATTTTGGTGATGTACTTTCTTATTTCTCTGTCTAGCCATTCATTTGAAGAAGATGATATTTTCAGTAACTCAAAGAGAAGGAATTCTGGTGGACTGAATGGAGTTCTCTCTGAAGAGCCTGATGCTGGAGTCACTGGAGGAATGCCTAAAACATCACATCTCCAAAGAATAATATCAATTGAAGAAGATCACCTACCCCAGCTTCTTGACAGGCTGGTTGATAAGCAGCTGAGCAGATGGACTGGAGAAGATGAAAATACTTTTGATACAGAAATGAATAACAAATCCAGAGAACAATCAATGGAACACTCATCATCATCATCATCATCTTCTAGAGAGCAGCCTGTAGGGAAGGAAACACTGTCAAATGTAAGACGCCAAAGGAGATCTCACCTTGAGTAGAGTATGAAGTTCTGGGCCCTATTATTTAAGAAGAATGTGAAGGTCCTTGGATGCATCCAGAGGAGGGCCACAAAGCTAGTGGGAAGGCTGGAAACTGTCCTCTGAGGAGTGGCTGAGGCTGAGGGCTCTAGGTTTGTCCAGTTTGCAAAAACAGACTGAGGGACAACTCCCTTACTCCCAACTCTGCAGCTTCCTAAGGAGGGGAAGGGGAGAGAGTGGTGCTGATCCCTTCTCCCTGGGATCCAGCGATAGGATGTGTGGGAATAGTTTGAAGCTGCCTCAGGGGAGGTGCAGGCTTGACATTAGGAAGCATGTCTTTAGTGAGAGGGTGGTCAGACACAAGAATGGGGTTCCAGGGGAGGTGACCCATGCCACAAGTCTGTTAGTGTTTAAGATGCTTATTGATAATGCCCTTCATAACATGCTTTAACTTTTGGTCAGCCCTGAAGTGGCCAGGGAGTTGGACTAGGTAGGTCCCATCCAACTGGAACTCTTCTGTTCTGTTCTGAAGGACCTTGGATGCCATGAAGTGGTGTCATAGGTTAATGTGTTATTAATAGAATCTAAAATTATTTAGTTTTCTGTCTTTAAGTTGAAGCATGACAAACTGAGCCATTGCATGAAGTGGGGGATGAAAATGTACTGCAGACAGGTGCTGAAGGTGCAAAGAAGGGAAACTCAGCCTAAAGGAGTGGTAACTGCAGACAATGTGTGTGTAGATTTACATTTGAAGCACTGTTTAGGGAAAGTGAAGTTAAACGTTGTAATAAATGATACAAGAAGATCCAGTGGAAGGTAAAATTGTCTTAAAAAAGATGCAAGTGTTTTTTTAAAAAATTGGTTTTTTGGCTTTGGGGTTTTTTGCCACAAGGTGATATTTCTCATATTCTGATACTTTTGAGTCAGCTTTGGTAGCTGTTATATTATCTGAGAAATAATGAGAGGATTATTATGACTTTTTAATTTTTATTGAAAATACTTTTATTTAGCAAATGGAAATCCTATATTTTTTCAGCTCTAGCTTGTGTATGCATGCTAGCAAGGAATTCACCATTCACTAATAATCCTTAAAACAGTATGCTGGAAGGTACATTTCTTTGGTTAAAGTTCTTTTTGCACTGCAATTGCTTCAAAGCTAGCTGTGCTTGTTTTCTAATTTTAGAATCATTGTTAAGGATTACTCATCTTTAGATTCTTGAAGCACATATTAAAAAGATTAAAGTATAGGAAAAATTGGTTTGCTTGGTCATAATTATATGGTTCTTTTAGAAGAAGCAAGCATGTCTTAAAAATTATGATAGAATTATGCCATGGTTACATAATAATTTCTAAGTGGTACCTTTTAATAAATCATTGAGGGTACAGAAAAGAGCTTCATATTTTGAAATTGTTTAATTCAGTGCATGCTTTTGCTTGCTGTATGACTTATTTTGTGTCATATTTTCAAAGCATGGCATTACTGGACTTTAGGATGACAAAAGCCAGGTGGGTCATCCTTGTCCAGCCAGGACAAGCCTGAAGGAATATATTCAATACCTGAAGGAACCCTCATGGAAATTAAAGTAGGATTTTCTGTTCAAAACTTCTGCATGAGATTAACTTTCAATATGGAATATGAACCCTTATGTTTATACCTGTAATCTCCTACATTTGTGATAAATTGTACAAAAACTGGGTGTCTTACTTTACCTGGCTCCTTTTTATATAAAGACTACTCAAAAAACACATCTAGGAAATACTTTTTTAGACTGCATTGTAAACTAAAATAAATTATAATCCTCCTGTTATTCCATTTTCCCATCAGCACTTTGTTGAAGCAGACTATGGAGTAGTTTATTCCCTAGCATAGTGTTCACATGCAGATTTATAATCAAGTTTAATTATTAAGGTTATTTTCATGACTGGACTTGATACATCTCAGTGAAAAATGGATTCTTATGTTCTTGTGCTGGGAGTTGAGCTGAAGGCTTCTGGGGTCTTTGTGTTTTGGTGCTACTGGAGTGTGTAAGACCACCTGGGACAAAGTATTTCAGGTCATGTAGTCCATATATTTTGCTATGGTTCTCAGAAGCACTGTGATAATATGCCAAGCTGATGATTGTATGTTAGCTTGTTTAATTTCCCAGAGCACACAGACTAATAAGCTGGGAATGGTTTTCATCAGGACTGAGAATGTGCTTTGTATTAATGTATGTGTGTTACTAGTAGCCTATAGTTGCCGTGGGGTTTAGAATTTTAATAGAAAAGGAAAATAAGAAACCCCTCTATAATTGTGGTGGGCTATAAGCCCAGCTCAAGAAAGACACATGTATTTTTTGTCCCTAAAATTTACAGCATGAATGATTTTTATTTTTTTTCACACAAAGGGAGACAGAAGCTCAAGCCTCTGTTGTTTGAGATTTTTTCCGCATCAAGAACAGCTGTCTATTTCTTCTCCTTTCTTTAAGGCTTCTGTATATTTGTAGAAAATACTTCCAAGTGCAAACTTCAGTGTCTCATTCAAAGGACTGTCAGGCAGTGAATTCATTTCTGATATCTTCACGAAGGCAGCAGTCTCATGGATCCTTCATGTCAAATGACTGGCAGAGGGCCCTTCCCTCCTTTCCTCCTTTCCTTCCTCTCCCTCCTCACAACCCACACCTTAACCAACTGATGTCGGGACCATCCATGATCTTGCTGCCCTTCTGCAGCATAGAAAACAAACATTCTATCATCTCCCTCTTCCTTCACTTTTACACAGAATAGAAGAGACCAGCAAGAGCACCCCCTGCAAACCAGCTGGTGCTACAAGTGCTTCCCTAAGCAACTCCTGATTTACATACAAAAGAATTATGACCTACTTGATAGAGGATATAAATATTCTCTCCAGCATCCACTTAACTTAGCCTGCAGTAAACAGAACCTGGATAAGCAGAACAAATTGTTGTTCCTCCTGCTTAAAAAGCAAAATGACAGAAACATAGCTGAATGTTTACAGCCTGATTAAATGGTCTAATTCTCTGTCTGTGTCTTTCCTCCATGCTTCTGCCAGTAATGTTAAACAGATGTAGAAATGCAGTAATTGGATGGGAGTTCTTGGCTCAATGCTAGTAACAGAGAGAAGAATCTGGTAGCATAAGCCAAAAAATTATGACTTTACTTCTGTTATCTAGATGAAGATGTGCTGCTTCCTGTGTCACTGGTATAGGATGAAGCTACTGAGCAGAGCTGTGTGAAGCTTTATAAATTTTGATTTGTGGCCATGAACATAAACTGTTTTATTTTGTCAGTTTCCCATAAAGGTTCGTATTCAGGATACTTCGAGCTCAGTGCAAATCACTGCACTTTGGATGATCTGGAATGATGCATGGCAAACATCTGAAATGCTGAGTTATTTTAAGAAACAGAATATTGCTTCATGAGTAATGAAGAATATGATAGGATAAAATCTATTATTTTCTGCATATCAGCCTTTTTAACTGGAGAGACAACAGGATTTATAGAACAGTCAGAGGCTAATTTTTGCTCTTACTTGAAGGAGGAGAAAATAAACTCTGTCCCAGAGCGATTATTCAAGATTGTTTTTGTGGGCAATTCGAGTGTTGGAAAGACTTCATTCTTAAGAAGATTTTGTGAAGATCGTTTTTTCCCAGACACTGCTGCTACTGTAGGTAAGTTTAATAATATAACTATTGTTATTTTTGTTCTGACAGTACTTAAGAGTTTCTACTGAGATCAGGCCTTGTATTATAAAACAGAAACATACAGATGTTGTAAAAGTAGGACATGCAAAGTAAGTTCTCTTAAACTGGAAAGCACATAATTGATGGAAAAGTTTCAGAGTAGATTCTGTACTGAAATCCTGGCCAGCAGTGAGATAACTCAGAAAAAATCTACTGATTTCTGTGAAGCTAGAATTTCCCTGTAGATCTCACAGTTCTGAAACAGATCTGTACTCTGGACTGCACTGTACTAACAATCCCACCTTCGTATCTCATTGTTATCCTTCTAAGTAATCTGATTCTGTTTTAGAGAGAAAGTAGAATATCTGAATCACTTATTTGAAGGTTTAGCATTATACTAATCACCAAAAAAATATGTTAGACCAGTGTTTTGAAAGCCAAAATTTTCAAAGCCTACCTTCTTACCTTGCCTAAAGTTGTAGACCAAGCTTTCAGACTCAAAATCGAGGTACAAGAACTCAAGTATAGGTTATTGCAATGCAGCTGGGTTAAATGACTGGATTCTTTATACTTAGCCTGTATTGACACCTTACTTATTCTGCAGCATATATGAAATAAAACTTACCTACTTCAAGGTGAGCTTAGTAATGTCCTAGTTTTTTACTGAGTGTATGTTCATTGACTGGAATGCGGGCTTGGACACCTATCTGCAATTGTCTATTCATGTATCCTATAGACTTAAAGGCTGTGTCTTGTCCATGTTGTCCTGTAATTGGCTGATACATTTTTGTACACTCTGAGGTCTTACACATTGTGTGCAATTTTCTAGAGGAAAAGCACAGGAATGAGTCTGAACTTTTTCCTCTTTTGGCTGGTCATCCAGAGTTCTTGCAAAGAAAATGTCAAGACATTTGTCATACCTTTGATTTAGTGTTCACATCAATGAGTTTCACATGTGTGAGTTATGACTGGCAAGGTAAAGACAATTGAACAGTCAAGTGAATGACATGGAGAGGAATGTTCTCAATGAATTTCTACAGAATAGTTCAAATTTCTTCCCTTGAGGCACAAGCAATAGGTACTTCATACAGGTTTTTAATTGCCTATTCAAGGAATCTAAGCAGACATAGATGCTTCTCCATTGATGCCACTGGTAAAAATCCCATTTTTGTGGAAAAAGACCCCAAAGATACTGTTGCTGACCTACTGAGATCCCTTTTGACCTGAATTATTCAATGATTCAATGATTTTATGATACAGTTCAATGTGATACCAAAAATATGTAGGTTGTCATTAGGAGGAGGTAGTGACTGATTAACATTTTGAATTCTAATTATTGTTATAAATATCCAGAAAATACTTACATCTTCACAGGTTAGAGGAATCAGGAGAGGATTAATTTAAAAGTTTAAATAAATGAATTTTTATGTCCACTAACCTAAATGAAGTGAGCTCATCTTCTACGTTATAAATAGGGGAAGATATTCTCCACATGTTCAGTCCACCTATCTTCAGCATTTATCTTAGGTTCCACTGTTCCCTGTGCCTTGTCTTGTGTTTTTCCACTGACTGTGGAAGGTTCCCATGTGGTTAGCTCAAACTAAAATAATGTATTTCACACAACTGATGTCACGCAGTGAATTCCAGGCTAAATGTCTTAGACTGCTGTGGACTGTCAGATGGACCATTGATTCATGTTCTATGATTTGGAAAGTGACTTATCTTGCATATTTTACAAAACTGAACTACTCTACTACCATTCAGTATTTTATTGCTGGAGGACTTCAAGCAAATAAAAGCTCTTGTTCTCTGATAGCTGGAGACTCTGGACATAATTTTTAATGCAGTGCCTATCTTTTTACTTCTCTGGAATTGTTGCTATTTGCAGGATCCAGTTTTCAGTGATCAAACAGCTTGTAAAGAGACAGTTCACCTTGGTTTCTGTTGCAGGTGTGGATTACAACGTGAGAACTGTCACAGTGGATCGCACCCAGGTAGCGCTGCAGCTCTGGGACACAGCTGGCCAGGAACGGTGAGGAAAGCTCTCTTATGCTTCACCCCTGGGACTCAGCCCAGCTGTGTAGCTGCTCTCTCACTCCCTCATCTCTGGGGTGGAGGAGGGAATTGGAGGGATGGAAGTGGCAAAACTCCTTGTTTGAAATGAAGACAGTATAATGAAATTCAACTCCATGCCAGTCAAAACCTGTACGCATTTTAAGGTCTCACTTCCTTGAATCATCTGTTTGAATATTATTAAGTGTGTACCTAATCCTGCTTCTTGTGAGAGGTACAAATACAGGAGCATTCCTAATAGTGCCAGTGGATTCACAGTTTAGCTCATTCCCTTGCAGCACTAAGTAAGCTCAAAAACGTTTAGTTGCACTGTTTCTTTAGGAGGAAGACTGATTTTAAAATTCACCTGGAATTATTCCTATAGCAGAAAATACCTTAATGGTTAAAAAAGATGATTTTTGGTTTGTTTTGGTTTTTTTTTTTGTTTTTTTTTTTGTTTGTTTGTTTGTTTGTTTTTTTACTAAAGAAATACCACTGTAGTAGAGCTCCAGGTTTTTTTAAGATTTCAGTGGTAATTTCCTTCCCAATCTCCTCACCTATTGTGTAATTTTCTATTACTATTACTGTTACTAAAAACAAGGATGATAATGACAATCTGTGTTTTCTACATGAAGCTTTGGAAAAAGGTCTCCAAAAACCTAGCTAGCTTTAGAAGAGCACTTAGTGAGGGGGAAATTTCTGCTCCAAGCTTAAAATGAAAGAGGTGAGAAAAGGTGAGATATGCAGCTAATTATCCTACCTAACCCAGAGTCAGTTAAAGAAGGCAAGGGGAGCTTTTCCAAACACTTTCTTTTAAAAAATCCTATTAATTTTTTTTTCCAAATAATTTATTTGCCTTTATACGGAGGAATTACTATAAATTTTAACTTGTCAGATTGTTGCTTCTGTTGAAGAGAGCTGTAATCAGATTCTTGCTTGTAGGTACCGAAGCATTACCAAGCAGTTTTTCAGAAAAGCTGATGGGGTCATTGTGATGTATGACATAACAGCAAAAGACACATTCACAGCTGTCAAGCAGTGGCTGATAAGCATTGAGGTAACTGGGCATAACTTGAAATCCAAACCCTGGTGTCATTCTCTACCTTCTTCTGAACAAGGGTTAGCAGGGTAAAACAGAGAGCACCATCTTTCTTGTGTTGTCACAATTACATTTTTGCTTGTGAGTTTGGTCTACACTGTTGCCAGTGAAGTTGTTTTTCATCTCTATCTCTATGGAAAAAAAATCATAGTTCCAGGGTTTTAAGGACTTAGGATGAGTGGTGGGAAAATCCCAGCCTGGTGTCCTCTGATTTCTCATGAAGAGAGCTCAGCTGATGACCCCCACTGGATCACTGCTAGCACTGAGAGGTGTTTTGGATCAGTGGTGGTGATCTGGTGATCACTGATGATCACTAGCATTTGATAACCAAGTGCATAGCTCATGGAAAATAGACTATATTGTGAACATAAGCCATAGACTTAGAACTATGTAATCTACATTACTGCTGTGAAACTGCCTTGTGAAAGACAGTTCCGTTTCCTGGGGATCATCCTTTCAAAAGGATGAAAGGATGATCACCACATGAAAAGGAAATCATAGTCCATAGTCCAGTGACAGCAATTAATTAAAAATTAAAACATATTAAGAGCGTAAGCAACGGAATTTGCTTGTGGCCAGAACAGAGTAAAAATAAAACTGAGGCAGCTGCCAGAAAGGGCTGACTTGTAGCAAGAATGAAGTGTGACTTCCTGTTAGCACACTGAAAAAGTAAGGGACAAATCAATATGCAAAGATCATTTAGTCTGATTTTATTTGGCATGTGCTCTAGTATAACACACTATTATTATAATATGATTATATATATGATGATTATTATTATTATTAGTATATACTATTATATTTCCAGAATAGGCAAGAGGTGGCTTTGGGAGTTCAGATTAGGACTCAGTCATTTAAATGCCTCCAAACACTCATAGTTATTCCAGATATGAGTAGCCTTAATGAAGTACTCTTAGCATGCATTTGGGAAGAACAGGCCCTTGCTAATTATATGGTCTTAATAAATCAGTGGCATGTTTTAATTCAGTATGGTAAAAGCTAGAGGAGCATTGCTGATTTTGATTCAGAAAAATGAAATATTGTGGTCAAAAGTATTTTCCAAGCTGTTCACTCTTCTTTACTAACTGATTTTTGTTTGCTGCAAACTGTTGCTAAGTTGGACATACTGCCAAGTCCCTTCACTGCTGTAGCACTCAGCCCAGCTAATGAAAGCTCACTGTGATAATTATAACTCTTTTCAGAATAGATTTTGATTTCTGTCTACTCTCTGTATTTTGGGGGGCCTATTCTATGTATTTCTTCACTATTTCGTGTAATTCATTTGGCATAATAGTACCCAGGTGTGGCCATTTTTTTTTCTGGCCATGTAATTAGAAAAGCAGTGGCTGTAAACACATAATATCTGAGCCTGTGTAGCATGGTGGTTTTCTCTCTCCCATTTTAATATGAAGTCTAATGAGCTTCTGTGCTGTTATTTAAAAAAAATCCCTAGTCAGTGTAATCTTAGCATTATGTCTTTTTCATGTCTTTTATCCAGCTTCAATTCCTGACATGTTTGTAAGCAAAGTAGTATGTCCCTAGTTTGTGTGAAGTCTTAAATGTCTTGTTAGAGTGTGACGTTTGTTAGCTTTTATTCTCTTCATCTGTGATCTTTTGAATTCAACACTTCAGTTGATATTTGCTGTTTATTCTGCAGGAGGCAACTGGAGAGAACGTGCCTGTTCTTTTATTGGGTAACAAAACCGATAACGAAAAGGAGCGTGAGGTCCCGATGGGAATAGGAGACCATCTTGCAAAGGTACTGTACTTTGGGAGCTCCTTACAAGGCTTGAAGGTGAAGGTTTCGAAATGGAGTCTCAATGTGTCTAAATATATAGAAGTACAGTTTAATCTTAGTCAGGTAGGTATCTTTAAGGATTAGGAACCCCATCACACTCTTCAATTCAGCTTTCAGTGATGTAAGTGCTGATAATTATAGTACTTACAACACTGCCTAGATAAAGAGAACACCCTAAAACCAAAGCAATCAAATAAAAAACCCTAAACCAAACCAAAAAGTGAGTGGAGAAGAAAAATATTTAATAATTCACTCTCATTGTGTCTCGCCTCTCTTTTTTGTCTCTTTTTCTCTATTTTTTCCCTTGCTGCTTCTTTTCTCTCTCTTTTTTCCTCCCTTTTCCCAGTGAAAGGATTCTTAACATAGAGATAATTTGGGGATCTTTTCTCCCTCCTACCTCCTGTAAAACCAAAGAATACCATCTGTTACTCCTGTGGTAGGAGTAGAAAACATGTTTACTTTTAGTAACTTTCCATCAAGGAGATAAAATAAGCAGAGTTAACAGTCTGCATCTACCAGAGCACTGGTGATCCATGAGCATAATTTAAGCAATCAAGGGACTGCAAATACCAGATACTTGTTTATATTCTTGTGCACCATGCCCATCAATTTTTCCTTTGAATCTCTTTTTACAGTGCTTATAGTTGAAACATGAATGTCTGCAGAATGTTCATTTATTTAGAAGTAAGAAATTGAAATATTGCTGAAATATTCACCAAATTGGTAGGAATATACCTAAATTAGACAGTGTGCTGGATTTCACATATTTACCTCTTTTACCTTTCAAAATAGATTTACTGCCAGTAATAAAAAGGGTGTTTTCAAATTTTGAAGTGCAGCTGAATTGTTCTTTCAGGAAGGGTTACTGCTAGGCACCTCTCTGTAACTGAAAGATTTAGGGCCAGATCTCTCTTTATCTGATTTCAATGATTCACATAGCCTTTTGAAATTATACCTCCCTATTCAGGTTTGTGTCCATTATTTGGTTTTTGTCAAAGAGGTTTATCAGCCTTGAACTCTATCCCCCAAAGGATCTCCCTTTAGGAAATCAGCTTTATTTTCTTGTGTGTGGAAAGCAGATAACTTTGAGACCTTGAAAGCTAGGAGGGAGACCAGGGTGTAGCACTGAATCCTTGTGTGAAAAAACAAGTGACACATAAATGCTAAATGGACAGAGAGTAGGTGTCTTGCATGCCATCTTGCTCTAAAAAGACTGTACTAGTAAAACAAAGATGAATCACTCAAGTATATAGAGCTCACAGCCCACCAGGCTATTAATTCTAACATGTCATGTGAGAAAATAAAATGTTTTGCATAAGTAAAACAAAAAGTTGTCAAATAAGATGGTTATAATCTAGTGAATGGATCTGAATGACTCACTTGAATGCTTGAATGTGCTGCCTGAGGTAGTTAAGAGAAGGAGTGATTAATGGCAATGGATTAGTTGAAAAGTAGCATAGATATAATTAAATTATAATAATTTGCTTGCTGAGCTAATAATAACCATGAATTTTAATGAAATATTAATTCTTGCTAAATGGCCATGTAAGTCCTGTGAAACCACATACCACTGTCTCTGTTAGTATGCAGCTGAGTTACTTATTTTGTGAATAATCCCATGAATTACTCACAAATGATCCCAAATACACAGGGCTAGGTGCTGAGCTGATACTAATTTGTATAGCCATATTTGGTGAAAACAAGCTCTTGTTGTGCAAAGAATCAGTTTAGCCTGTTGGTCCTGAAGTCCAGTATTTTTAAGGACTGTTTCAATGTCTCACAGGATGAGATTGGTTTTACCGAGCTTTTTCTATAGTCAGAAAGGAACATGTATTTTCAGGGGACATTTCAGTCCAGCTGTATTAACCCTTGCATTACTTCAGTCCCACATCCTACACGCATTCTGCTGTACTACAGCTTTGGTCAGAAACCCAAGGGCTTCCATTATAATGCCCTTGTCACATAACTTCTCTGTAAGGCGGGCAGCACAATTAATTTTTAAAAGGAATAATGGCAGCCTGAAGGGAGTAGTCATTTGAGAAGACTTGTAGTTCCAGTGTGTTTGTTATACCCTGTAAAAAGGAATAATGGAATGAGCACAGGGGTTGTGGAAGTCCATTTGACTTGTTTTAGCAGAGGACCCAGAAGGAACACTCCAAATTTCTCTTTAGCTTAGCTTGATTCAGTGATCAAGAGTTCATATGAACACAACAAGAGAGACTATTCAGATCATATTGTGAGTGTCCAGGAACAGACAATGTTCTGTTTGAGTACAGAAGTGTAAGCACTGCCAATTATTTTAATAAAATGCCTTATGGCATACTTATATCCACATGATTTTATGTTGGCCCGCACATACTTCCTGAGTGATCTTAAATGGGTCCATAAATCCTTCTCTATCACTGTTCCCCAACGATAAAATAAGATAATGCCTGCTCTGCCTTGGCTTTGCAGAGTATATGTGCTTCATGGAATGAAGACTGTTTCTGTGTATTCATAGTGCCTAATTTGGCAGCCTGTCAGTGCCATTCTTACACAAATACTGCCAATGAGACAGCTATTCTCAGAGCATGGTACTTTACAGGACAGAAAATTGCCCAGCTCCCTCTGGTAATACTTAATTTTCCTCCCTATTCTGCTGATTTGTCGGTAAGTTTTTAAAATGAAGTAATTGCCAGTGGTCTCCAAGGTTCAGTTTGTTCCTGGATGGAGATGGATGGCATTTCCTAGCTTAATAATTATATGTGTCCTGCCTGCTCCTAGTTTGTGCTCCTTGTGTATTCTATCAATTAAAGCTTCCTCTTTGAATCAGAGAAATGGCATGTTGTATTTCCAGACTATCTCCTCTTTCAGATAAGAACCTTTTTGCTAGACTGAGAGAATTAAGTACTCATTATCAATTTAGTTTAACTTGTTGTCTTTCCATCCAAGCAATTTGTTGAAAAATCCATTTAGATTCATGCCAGCGTAAATAAAGGTATCACCGAGAGTTCTCCTCTGGTGACACTCTGTTGTATGTGGGGAAGATGTTGGAGTAGTATCACTCTCAGCTAGACTGACATGAAATACCTATAAACTGACCATAGCAGGTTTTCTGTTAGAGTTCTGATCAGCTGAGCAGAAAAATAGAGTGTCATTTTGATTTCAAGTTTCTGTTTGCATAGCTAGTAAGAAATTTGACCTGGTCAAATTCTATCTTAAAGCTTTTCTAAGAAAAGCAAGAGAATCTTAGGGTTGCAGTATTGCAAATGTTGCATATGTTTAAAAACATCGATAAAAGTCTATTCAACACTAACATTGCCTGATTTCTTCCTTCTCTACTTTTCTGTGCTTATCTGGTCATCAAGAAATTATTGCATGTTGTTCAATCCTGTTTTTCTGTGGAACAAACAATATAACCATTGACAACATATATAAAACTGACGTTGGATAACTCTGAAGCACTTCTTTTAGAGCTGCTAAAATAAACTACTGTATTTATGGAGTTCTTTTCCCTACTTTTTGTCTCTGAAATTCCACGAAGATGACTAAAATTTCCAAATTTGTGCAATTCTGGAAGCATAATATATAGAGAAAAAATCCACAAAAAACCCAAACCAAACCAGAAATACCTGGTCATCTTAATAGAAAGTTTTGAGAACTGAATTATAAATGCCTTCTGAAGAGTGGTTAAATAAGTATAAGTGCAGTAACCAGAGTTAATAACAAACAAATGCAACTCTGCAGACATAATTGTAATCTTCTAAGGTACTGACTTATTTACTTGAATTTTAAGCTACTGCTATAAATAGCAATAAGACACAGAGACAAGTGGAAAGTGAATAGAAATTTGAAATCTAGATGGGTAAAAGGACATGTAGTAATACCACAGAGGCAGTGTGGTTGACCTTCATTGTAGCAGGTTGTTAAAGTAGACAGGTATCTATTTTGGAGGGTAATCTGTCATTCCCTTTCAAACTTCTCTGCCGTCAGAACTGCCAGGTCAGGCTCTTGTGCAGATGATCTCTTGCTTTTGCTTTTATAAGGCTTCAGCTGAGACTCTCTCCCAAGACTTGATCATTTACCCACTGCTCGTAATTACAAAGTTCCCAGGGGAGTACAAAACTGAAAGATGCAGGCTGACTGGAAAGAAAGTGCAGAAAAGTTTCACAAGTACAAAAAGATGAAAGAAGAGTTACTGTAATTCTTTTTACCTGCTTTGTCCAGCACTCAGTGATGTGGGAATTGCCTGATCATCATAAGGGAAGTTCACAAGATGTAGTACCTTACAAGATCTCTTTTCATTTGAGCTCTTACATCAAAAGCCACTCCACAGAACAAATATCTAAGAGAAGCATATAGTTGTTATTTGTGAGGCACACTTGGACTTCTTTTGTTACTTTTTACAGTTAGCTGTATAATTATAATCCTAAAATAATCTATTTCTCCTTTATTTTCATATTTCAGTATATCTCTGTTGCTCTTTTTACAGCTGGAGTGAGACATTGTGCAGAAGTAATTGAAATGGTCTTTCTCTTTGATTGTAGGATTATAATTTAATTTTCTATGAATGCAGTGCTTATTCTGGGTACAATGTGGAAAAATCTGTGCTCCACTTAGCTAGGTAAGATAAAAACACCAACAATGAGTTTTTTTATGTGCCTGACTGCCCTGTAGCTCATGACGTTGTGAATTCTCTTTGTTTAACTAGTTTTAAGTTATGTTATATTATATTTATATTAGTTTTTTATGTTTATTAGTTATAGGAACTCAGGGTGGTGAAATATTCATTGCTTTTAAACTGCTGTGTCACCTGACCCTGTTGCTCTGACTGAGAATTGCTCAGGTTCATAAAGAGTTATGCTGTTGAAACTCTGTATAGATCCAGAAACATCTGGATTGTTGCTAGGAAAGCTGAGGGTCTTGGCTGCTGTGATAATTCTTGCAAGAATTTCCTGAAGGTTTGCAGAAATATACTTGAAAATGGATGCTGCTGACTCCTTGCAGCAGGACATTGGATATGCTTCCTTCTCCCCTCTGCTCATTACATCTCAAATTCTCCTGGGGGCTGGGAGACAGGAAGAAGTGGATTTTAAAACTTATATAAAGGCTAGAGGTAAAGATACAGGAAAATATGGCCCCACTGAACCACTTACAGAGGTGAAGACACTGGTAATGAGTTGGCAAATCGCCGATATTGTTGCTGAAATTAGTGAAATTTTGTGAAAGTGTCAGTAATTGATAAATGTCTGGGCAGCCAGATTTGTTTCAGTTTTGTTCCAGCCTTAAAAGTAAGAAATGAAAGTCACTGTTTTGAGTCTGTGTAATATGCAATGTGTTAACAATCAGCACTAACTAAATTTTTCTAACTAAATGAACAAAAGCGGTTGTGTGATGCGGCCACCATAATTGTACTTTTTTGCTTGTTTGTTAGGTCACAAAATTTTGTCATCTTCTGTTAAATCTCTGGACAATTTTACACTCTTGGGAAAATGGATTTTTTGTTCAATCTCTTGTGGGTTTTATTGACGTTTTTTTCTCACGAGTATTCTTTCTTTGCCCCAGGATTTTAAAAGAACATGAAGATAAAGTGAAAGAGAAAACCATCGAACTTCAATCTGATACAAACAAAAAGTCATGCTGTATGAGGCAATAAAATGCTGAGGCATGTTTAGACAAGTCATACATTTATAAAACACTACCTGGCACTATCAGATTTGCTTTTATACTCCAAATATTTCTTCTGCTGTGTTCTGACTGTAGGTGCAAGTGAAAGTGAAAATCTTTATATGATCTGATCTTGCTTTTATAAATATTGTCTTTAGTTAATTGAGAGTGTATTTGGGACAGTAACAGTCTTTTATTCTGTTTGATGCCAAACACCACTGAATCCTGCTTTGTCACCAGGCTTGTAGAAAGTGCCACATTATTAATATGAAGGAACAATTTTATGGGAAGAAAACTCTTTTGAATATGAAGTAAATTCCTACTTGTATGAATAACCCATCGTATGAATACTGCTTATTTCATTTTTGTTCAGATCCTTAGATCCTCATTTTTGGGCTAAGCTCCCTTTACAGTTTTAAAAAATTGCCATAGGTGTAGTTGTTTGTAGTTTAAAACATGTTAAGGCTGACTGAACAGCTCTTTGTCTCCAAAAGTCTGTCATAGGAGGTGTCATAGAAAATTTTGGAGGTAGAATTTTCAGAAACAGCAGATCTTATTTTGAGGAAGATTTTGAAAAACTTACCAGCATTTAATGAATGAAAAATCACACCAAAATTCAGTGAGATATTGCTCTTTTAGCAATGCTAAGAAAAAATTCCTCCTCATGTAGCTAAACACATGACTGCTTTTTCAAAAGCAGCTGCCACACAACATTCCTCCAGGGCCTGATAGCACTGAGACACAGTTTACCCATGGGATGCATTTTAGAAAATCATGGCCCACCCTGGACCATAAGAAACACAGATGTCAATTATCTTTGGAAGCTTTTGTGGAGTATAAATGGAAATAAGAAACTTGAGAGTGCGTCACCACATGATCAACAATTATTCCTGGTGGGATATGTCTTCACTGCATCCGGCTATTGTGGTAAGCATTCAAGAACAAGTATTCACAATGGTGAGCTTGTTGGGAAGGTGGAACACATGGCATAATTTATTTCATTAAAATATTACACAAGATGGTAGATTTCATTATATAAAATTGTTACAGACATTTTTAAAATCAATTTTCTAAATGTTTTTAAAAATGTATTTTTAATTTAATCACTTTGAAACTAAAGATGAGTAATAAGCATTAGCTCAATAAGTAACTCTATTTTGGATAAAAACTTTGTCAGTAATTAATTGTGCTCTTGGGATTTCAGTCTGATCAAAGGTGTTCATCTAGTTCCAAAAACTGCACAATAGGGGTTTATGGACTTTCCCCTACAGCAATTTCGATATCCATACCAGCACTCAAATGCCCTTTCCTATGAGTTGGGGTCCAAGTGTGACCCTTTCCCTGTCAGGTAGAATAACCAGGGGTTTACTTCTGTCAGGAATGATGGATGAACCAAGCAGCCCAGGATAAGCTGATTATTAAGAGTTTTTCCCTTGTTGATTCCTGAGAATCTGTTCATCCAAATGAAAAAAACTACCCTTTCCTTCAATGAGGTGCCTAAGAAGCTCTAAAACACTAAAGGAGCAAAATGAGTATCCATTACTGAAAATCAATAGGCTTTCTGTTCACTTCTCAGGGTTGCTTCTTGAAGTCCACTACTGGTTGTGGAGAGTTGAGTCACCTTATCAACTGTGGCACATTATCCATCATGGAAGACTTAGAATTGAATCATCTGTGTTCAGTCCTGTCTGGAGCTGAACTAATGCAAACCATTAATTCAAACATCAACAAAAACAACACTTTATCCCAATTTCAGCTAGGAAAAAAGTGTCATCAGTTTAAGTATTGGCTCTGCTAATTGACTTTGAGTGATCTGTTTCTCCGTTGATGTTGGAACCAGCAATATTTCCTCTAGCCTCTGTCAGCTTCAGGAAGACAGTTTGAACCCTTAATTCCAGCTTTACTGTCCATGATTCTAGCCCCACAGATTCAAATTCTTAATTTCTTTTTCCCTGGTTCATCTTGATTTTGAAGGACAGTGACAAGTGAAGTAGATTTTCTTTCTGTGAATCCCATGGGATCATTTTTATTTGGGTGTCCTTTAGCATGCACTAAGACCCTGCCAGCAGGATGTACACAATTTGAGAACAGACAATGCTAAGAAGCAGCTGAATCCTGGGATGAGAGATGTTTCTCCTTCTACAGACAAATCTGGTGGAGTCTAGCACCCAGGCAACGTCTTCCATCTAGGATTGATAGCTGTGGCTGCTGCTGATCCTTCTTGGAAGTCCAGCCAAATTCCAAGCTGAGTACACATTGCAAAGGTGTAGATATACGCACAGCACCAACATCATCAGCCACACAGAGACTAATGTCTTCACTGCTTGTCACCCACATATGCGCAAGCAGCATTCCTATCAATATGAACACAGATAACCTAATCCTCTTCCTTTCCAACAGATCAAGACTGAAGTTCTCTGATGAAAACATGCGTGTACACAACTCCTGTGACTTACAGTGTTCTCTTTCTCTCACCCTGCCCTACACCTCTCCCCAGGATCAAGCAAAAAATCACATTTAATGAAAAGGCTAGATGTCCTGTAGCTGCGGGGCACAAGGCTTATTCAGATAAATTCTGACCAGCAGCTTGCCCACATACAACTGGTCCCTTTTATTCTACCTTCTCTTGATTTTTTGCATGCTTATTCTTCTTCCACTTACCCTGACCCCTCCCTTTCTCTGTCCTTCATATCCCAAAGAAACAACTTGTCCCTAGTTGCCTTTTCCCTGTTAGTCCCAGGTTTTCTACATCTGTACCCATATTTTTTCTACCATTTCCTAAGTCACCTTGACTTTACGTGCTGTTATTAATACAAGTTTCCGCTCCCAAAAGAGTCCCAACTATTCCCCTCCAATTATTTGTGAAGTTACTGTGTAACTCCCCCTTATCCACCTGGGAAGTCCAGACATGGCTTACAGTGCTCTCTGTAAAAACTTTCAGCTTCTCACTCTGTTATTTGCAGTGTTCAGGGTTGCTTGTGTAGGTTTCTCATGGTCTGTTTGGTTATCTAAACCTCAGGTCAGGGCTTATTCACCTGTTGGCACACCTGAACAAACAGCAGGTACTGGTGGACTCATGCCACTGAAGACAGGTGTGAAGAACATGCAACAAGGCTCTACTCATGGACAGATTCTGCTGTCCAGCTGGCCATTAAACTGGTGTGGGAATTGTCAGGTTCCCACATTCATTGATGCTAGCTGTATTGCTGGGTTGCTGTCTTCTGACTCTCCAGCAGGGTTTTATACCTCCTGGCAGTATTTTTCTCAGCTCTTCAGAAAGTTAATACTGGCTTAACAGAAGTGAAGCTTCCTTTTCCTCTTTCCTTTTTTTTCTCCATTTTTTCCATTTCAATTCTCCATTGGCAGAAATTGATCTCTGCCTGGTCAGGTACCCAGTACTGACAGATCTTTGGATACGTACAATACAAAGTCCATTTGCGTGGATATAACAGAGTGCTTCTAACCCTTTGGAACTGAACATCCATGAATTACTGTGTGCCAGTCAAAACAGATTCCAGCCTGCCCAGATGTGAATGGAGCAACAGTGTAAAAAAATCATTGCCCAGTATAACCTCCCTGAGAGAAGTGTATAGCACCTCCTTACATACCAGATTTGAGGAGTGATCTGCAGCTGTTAAAATGGGAATGCTCCACACACAAGGAATATGTGAGGAACAGACTATGCTGAAGCAAGTTTGCCTCTGGACAAATGAGGAACAGGACAACTGGCATCCCAAAGCCCAGGACAACTGGAAACATTGAGATTGAATGGCTGAAACCATATTACTTGGTGTGGTACAAAGCATTACACACAGCCCCACAACTTTCTGTGCTGCCTGTTGGCTCCCTGGGCAAATTCTGAAAAAAAAATGGAAGCTGAAACTCAGGAGCAGAGTAGAGAAAAAATATACATGTATACATTGTCTAATGGTTTACATTATTTTTCTTTCCCCAGAACTGCAATCATCGATAAAAGATTTGTGTACTTTAGTAGTAAATTAACTCAAGTAAAATTTCCCAACTTGGGAGCATTTTTGTTTGCAACATCTGTATATTGGCAGAATTTTCTACCATGTGAGATCATTTTGGAATAAATCCTCTTTATCATCTGCATAAGTAGAAGCTTGATTAGAAAGTAGAAACATGCTCATAAAGCTCATCAATAGCAACTTCCCGAATTCATCCACAGCTGTTGAAATAATGGGTCTTTTTTGATTATTGAAATTACAGGATTTGCAATAGCACTCACATACACTTCTGGAAAAAGGAGAGAGTTATGCACTTTGGCCTGTTTACTCATAAAACAACTAAAGTTATTTTAATATGAAGCTAGTAAAGGGCACCTGGTTATTGTCTGATGAAAATAGGCTTCTCAAGGGGAAAAAAATGCCAGTAGGTTAACTTTACAGGGCATGTATAAAAGTTCATTTCTATTACTAATCTGAAATATTGTATGCAGAGACACTGAATTCTTCCAAATGTACTAGAATTTGAAGGACACTGGATTAGTCAGATAAGCATTACTTATTTCCTTTCAAACACTGAAGAGGGAAGTGTTTCAAACAAGTCCATCTATACTGGATAGCTGTGTTTAGCTTCTGCAGTTGTCAGTGCCTTTTCTGAGCACAAGAATCATTACAAGAAAAAAACCAGATTCAGAGGAGTTTTCTCACTGGAAATATCTGGTTTTCATGGGTTGAACAAGAAGGGAGTAGGGAATCCTGTGGAACTGAGACATTTGAGTAACACATGTGGCTCTGAATCTTACTCAAGCACTCCCATTACTTGAGGTGCTGTTTGTGTGTCTGGGTAATGAACAGTGAAGACCCTGCTGTGTTTTGTGTGGCTGATGACATTAGTATGTTGTGTATGCCTCTGCCCCTTTGCAGTACATACTCAGCTCAGGTTTTGGCTGGACTTGCAGCAGTGAAGAGCAGCAGCCACAGCTACCATCTCTCTGTGACATAGTGTTGTGCCTGGTGTTTTGTCTTGTGCCATCTTTGCCTCATGTTGTGAGAGCTGTGTTCTTTTGCTCAGAGCATACATAATATGCTTTTAGGTCTTGTGTCACTCTATCCAGCTTAATTTTTTTTTTTTGCTGTCTTCTTAATGACCTTGTTGTAAGTGAGTATTATTTGGAACATTAGCCTGCCTGTTTGCAGGATTCAGTGCTGCTGCAGCTCTACACTTAAATCTTACCTTTTCAGAGGAAATCAAGCCTATGAATCGGGAATATGAATATTCCTGTGACTGTATAGCTGCTGTTCAAGCTCAGGTGCTGCTGTTTTCAGAGGGAAGACCACTGGGTAGGTTTGCAACTCTTCATTCCTGCCAATCATTACTCCTCCATTTTACCTTTTACAAGCTGTTAGAACCCTGCAACAAGCCATTTTAGGCCTTGGCAGAATCTCAAGAAAAAATATAATAGAGAAAAGAAGAAAAAGACAGAATTCTCTCCTGCGTTAGTGAGCTGAACTAGCCCAGCAAAATCTGACAAATACCACAGTTAGTGGGAGGATATGGGTGGAAAACACAGCTAAGATCACAGTTTTGAGAAAAGAAGTCTAGAGGGGTGGGCAGCCCATTTTCAGTACCAAGAAGGTATTTAATTGTCTCACCTCTTTTTAACCTCATATTTCAATATTAATAAATGGAACTGGATGGGGACCATATTTCTCAGGCAGCCTGGGGAGCTCAGTATTGCTGCAGCCAAACACCAGTTTGGATACCTGTGCTGGGGGCTGGAAAGCCTCAGGACTGGCAGTGCATAGCTCAGAGGTAAGGAAGGCTCTCAGCTGCAAAGCTCAGATGCCTCCCCTGAGAGCCTGAGTGAACA